GGTATCAATTATGAAAAAAAATTCAATTTTTTCCACATCTAGAATCTTTTCTATTAAAAAAAATGTAATAATAAAAAACATATTTTGTACATTTCAACAATAAATCATCATTGAAAATTCGTTGTACTTTGATCATTTTTGTGATTTTCGGTGTGGTGAACTGCACTGTTTGATATAGCGTGAAATAACCTAAAAATAAAAATTTTAAATTTGAAATTTTCAGGAAAAAATTGATAGTCTACATTTGGTGATTTTATTTGAAATGACTTAAATGCAATTTTTATATAAAGAAAAAAAATTACTTTATGTTAAGTTTACAATCAACTGTTAACTAATTAAATAAGTAGTTTGTAATTATAAAAAACATTTTGTAAATTTGATAACAAAATCTTATGTCACAGCAAAAAAAATGATGGAGTTCTGAAAGTGGTTTTCGTTTCTCCTATTCAAAGAATGCCTTTTTGCGTTTACAAAATGTTTATGTTGATTCATTCTATTTGTTAAAAAGAATATGTAATTAATATAATAATAATAATAATAATAATAATTACCATAATTATTATTAAGAACTAAGAAATTGCACTACAACATTAAATCCAGAAAAAGGTTCAATTTTTTAAAAAAATTGCATTTTATTGTTTTCATTATTTTTTTCTTTATTTGATTGTTATTACTTTATAAAAAAAACAATATACAAAGCTAATAATTATCTTTTATGTACTAACTATTTTTTATTTTACGATATTTCGGGATCCAGAATTACTAAAACTTTAAATTGATATTAAAAAATCCAGAATCAATCTAAACATTCTGTAAACGATATAATTGTGGGAAAGTACGAAATATTTTGGTTGACTTTTAAAAAAAAAATTTTGTTAAACATTAACAAAATAATTTGAAATTAACAAAATGCTTACAAAATTGCATATTACCTTTACAAAACTTTCAGTAAAATATTTTCTTTGTTAAAAGAATTACAAACCCTGGTTTTCTACAAAAAATTAATGTTTAAATTTTACAAAATAAAATTATCAAACTAAAAACTGATGTTAACAAATCTGTCAGTGTAATCATTAAAAAACAAATACAATACAACAATCTATTGGATACAGATTAATTTTACAAGATTCAGACAGATTAATTGAATTGTATCTATTGAAATTTATTGTTTTAAATGTTAGCTATAAATAATAAAATTATTATAGGAAAGCAACCTACAGCTGAACTTTACCCAAGCCATTTACAACAATAATCTTGTATGTAAAAACATTATTATTTGTAAGAGTAACCTCATTTTTATTCTGAAGATGCTCCAAATGTTATTTTTATTCATATATTCACATATTACGTATTTTTTGGAGTCTTCTAAAAATGATAGCATCCTACGTACATGTATGGATATTATTTTGAAGAAAGTATTTAATAAGTTTTACGTGCATATAGCAACGCAATCAGAATAAAAAACGACGAACTTTCTTATATACCCGTATATATTTTTATATAGTATATACAGTAAAAACGATCTTAGATAAGAGCAGTAAAGGTTATGTTGTGTGAAAATCATTGCATTGTTAAAGTTAACAGTATGAGTTCGTTTCATATAAATTCTGACTAAGTAATTGTTGCACCTGAGCTCTTGTGGCCTCTATCATAAGATTAAGTTTGTTTATTGGTTAATTGTTCGTTAAATGTTAAATATTACAAAATTGCTTTAGATTTATTTAAAAAAAAACTAAGTTTCTCACAAAACTAATATAGGTAAATTGAGTTCTTCATCCTGAAACTATATATAGAAAATGGTTGCTTTGTTCGCATAATTCATATATTTTCTTCTAGACATCATATTAAATAGTCAATTTATATGGCCTAGACCATTGTTAAGCACCATTCTATTACAGGCATTATGTAGATCTATAATTTAACGTTTTGCCGCAATGTTTTTTCTGCTTCGTTTTACAACATAATAATACATTAGTTTAAGCCAACGTTTTCATAATACGCGTATTAAACATTTTATGGTTACAAAATTATAATATTGATTGAATTTGAGGTGTAATTTTTTCTCAAATGTAATTATGACCGGGTTGGTCATTTCTAGGGTGCCTCGTTTCCTAGCCCTTTGAACGGCATTCCAAAACGCCTTAAAAAAATAAAATGGGGCCCCCAGTCTGCTTATGAAATAATGTGATTGTTTTGTAAATATTAGCAAGTCCTTTGCAACACTTTTAATGTAATCAGGGATATGAAAATTGATTACAAGCTTTTTCCAGCGAACTTATAAGTATACTTATATTTGAACTTGTTAATAATTAAATTTTAAAGATTAACCATTATTTAATGTAATTATAACCTTTTTTCTAATTCCTGATGGATTGCAGCTAGGGACTCCCGAGACCAAAATATTAAAAATTCTTTTTTAGTTTTAACTTTATATTTTGTTATTTTTTTCATAGCATGTTATTCTTTAGAAACTTGAAATCTCCGGGGTATTTTTTTTAATCAGTTTTTATTTTATGGTAAAGCTGGGTCCTGAAATATTTATACCTATACTATGGTTTTAAAGTGTCGAAAAAAAAAATTAGGAAAAAAACAGGCCTTAAAAAATACATATATACATTTTAAAAAAGTAGCAATAAAAAACTTAACATTAGTTTAATTTAATTTAAAAATAAAACTAAACACTGAATTTAATTAAATTGATTTAAGAAAATGATATTATGATTATATTCAGCGTCGGAAATTCACTTTTTTCTCGATATCAGTGTACGGATAGTACAAAAAAATTGTAAATTTTTAGAAAAATTTACTTTTGCATTTTTTCGTATTACTCTTTGAATAAAATAAGAAAAATTCAAGTCAATTTTTCTGAAAATTTTGCAATTCTTTTTCCGCCGGCTCAATTTTTTCGAAAATTGTAAAACCCTAAATTTTAGATGGTTTTTTGTTGGACTGAGAAAGACTACTTAAGATTTGGGGGCCCTTCTGGACCGGGGGCATAAGTATATTATGTATGAAGTTTGATAAATGCCATTTTAGTCACGAATTTTAATTGGGCACGAGCGAGTGTTTAATTAGATGAGTTTCTAGAAAAGTTTATAAACGAGTTGCGTACTATTCTTTTTTTTACGACAAATATTTCTATAAAGTAAAATCGAAATTTATACCTTTAAAATGGACTAACAAACGTTTAAATAACGATATTGAAGCAGTTTTTCATAGTAAAAGTGAAGAGAATGTTTTATGCGCACTTTACGGTGGAGTCTCCACCCGAAATGCTTTTAATGCTTTGCTTTTGAATTGTAATGCTTTCAGTTAAATCTAGCTGACAAAATCAAAAGGGCAGTGCATATAAACTATTCAAATAGGAATTGACGTTGAAATATTATAAAATACTTTTTATTTTTGTATAAAGATAATACTTTATAATATTTTAACGATTGATGATATTAACAAGTTGTCAACAAACTTAAAACTAACTTCATCCCGTGACTAAAAACCTGTTTCTAACTGAAGTGTCTAAAGCCACAACTTGTCCATGTGTATTTAAAATATTAATAATGGGCATTTTAAGCGTTGGAGTAAAATTTAAAAAATCTCTTTGAACAATAAACAGTACAAAATATCTAAGAAGAATTTTAAAACTACAAAAACGAAAATGAACAATTTATTTCTAAAATGTTTCGTACCTTTTTGCTATATTTACTTGTTTGCAGCCCTTTTACTTCAAAAAATTTAAAGCTTAAAACTTTTCTATGTAAACAGTAGGTAAGTTATAAATAATAGTAAATAATATACAATATTAATAGACCTGTCAGATGTCCAAGGCAATAGTTGATATTGACAAAAAGTTGCTGTGTATTGCATTTCTTGGTTAAGAATTTGTATCGTAATAAAAAAACGATTTTTTAATTTCATCCTTGCATGAACTTTTTCATTATGTTAGAACTCAACAATAAATAAAAAAAGGTGCAGTGACTAAAAACCTACATATTATGAGCCCTGTAGCCTTAATTGACAATGACGTGGTGTACATTACAATAATACGTTAATTGCTGTTATGAAATTGAATCTTCATACTCGAGAAGCACGTTTGCTGTCGGCGTCATTGACCTACCGATGCACAAGATCAAAAGGCATTAAAATGCGCACTGTACAACTTACGTTTTCTTTAAACGCGTAAACGCAATTGAAAACTGTACTTTTTTAGGCGTCTTAAAAGGCATTATTGTATCAATTGAATATAAATTAAGTTTTAAAACGGGCTTTGATTTGATGCGGATGTCATATTTTTAGACTTTTAGGTTCATTTACCCAGGAATGTTAAAAAAAAGATGCATTAAACAAATGCAAATAAACCAGTTTGTAAAAATGTCTTACTTGGTTGGCTTATTAATTCGTAAGGGGACAACTTTATACAAAAGGGTAATTTTATTTATTAAATTTAATGTACCTAATTATACAGGGCTTTTAATTAAAACCTAGCCACCCTTAATAACTTTTGAGTTATAGTAAATACACTCACAGGCAAAATAATCGATCCACACAAATTTTCGATGAATTTCAATCGCAAATAATTTTTTATTTGATGTCCGATTTAAACGAATATTAAAGAATATTGTAGATAAATTAATGGACAATCGCTCACATTTTAAAAAATTACTAAAAAATAGACGTACGTTTATAATATACAGGCTTAAACAAAAATATGTTTTTTACCATGAGTTTAAGACACTCTGTAGAGTGGCAAAACCGTATATTTGTTTTGTTTTTGGTTCACCTCGATATATTTCTTTTTGTGGAAAATATGGATTTTTTTATAAAACATTGCAATTTCCAATATTTTTCTGTTTGAAGAACTAAGGTTGCTATGGTCCATCCATAGGCTATGGAGAATGACAGTGACAGTTTTGTTGAATCATCCCATACACGGCTTTCAAAAGCTATCAAATTGTTTTTTGCAAATTAATGTTTAAATTTTGAGGTGTCTTCTTACTTTAAAAATGGATATGTCTCCGACTGATGTTGCCAGAGCCATTAATTTAATCCAGGATGGACGGTCACAGTATTACGTGGCAAGTGTTTTAAACGTCACAAGAAGTAAAGTACAAAGGGCAACATCAGTCGGAGACATTTTTAAAAGTAAGAAGACACCTCAAAAGTAACACATTAATTTACAAAAACAATTTGATAGCTTTTGAAAGCTGTTAAAAATAGATGTAAATTGATATTTAAAACTTAATTTAGAACAATATACGGTTTTGCCACTCTACAGAGTGTCTTAAACATATGGTAAACAACATATTTTATTTTAAACCTGTATATTATAAACGTACGTGTATTTTTTAGTAATTTTTAAAATGTGAGCGAATTTCCATTAATGTATCTACAATATTCTTTAATATTTGTTTAAATCCGAAATCAAATAAAAAAGTTATTTTCGATTGAAATTCATCGAAAATTCGTATAATATTGAGCAAAATATCTAAATCGACCTGTTTTTAGAACATATTAACTATAATTTAAAAGTTATTAAGGCTAGTGTTTTATTGATAGCCCTGTATATAATCATACTAAATATTAACTGTTCTATAAAGCATTTTACGTTTATTATAATATAATATGGCCCATAAACTTTACATGCCTTTAAAATATTAGGTATGTAAATATTTTTATTTGATAACTTAGAGCTGTGCTTCCTGTTGTTAACTGTTTCCTTATAGACATACGAATAAACTTAAAGTTCCTTATTTTAGCATTGTATTATTATTATTTTATAAATGGGTTAAAAATACAAAAAAAATTAAAAATTTCTAGCAATTCAAATATATGTTAATAGGTGAAAAATATGCTATTTCAAAACTTGGAAATATTTTACACAATGTTAAATTTAAAAATATAATGAAATTAAATATCAATACAAGACCTGGAAATGATTTTTATATAAATACTGCAAAAGTAGACAGTTATCGGACACTTTATAGTTATTGGACAATTAACATTAATATATTACAATATTTACAGTATACTGTAGTTCTATAAATAGTAACCTTAAAGTCAAATCATTAGATGACACTGTATACAATTATAACTATCTCAGTCGGTAATAATATAGATCTACTTTATTTTGGGTCCAATATAGGACAAAAAAGTTCGCACGTTACTTTGGGTGTAAAATTTTTGTTTTTTTGTTAAGAGCAGGGAGGGCTGTGTTTAAATTACAAGAAAAAATATTTCTAAAAAGTGTACAGATCAGTGTGTGGTATAAATGTTCTTCATGGTTTAAACTATGTCATTTTAATGCGTTTTAATTTTAATTCTGAAAACAAATAGTAAAATGTCCAGTATCCAATTACTGGTTGGTAAAAAATGCAAATTTTTATTATTGGACATATGTCCAATATCATACTTTATTTATATCCCGGACATTTTCCAGACAATTCTTATGTAAAATTATCCCCTGAATCCGAAAAGACCGTCAAAAACTATAAAAGTTAAGCAGTTTTTGAGATACAGTCAATTCCATATTATATGTAAAATTGATTATACTTCAAAAACTGTTCTACTTTTGTAACTTTTGACGACATTTTAGGATTCGGCGAATAATATTTCATAGGAATTGACTGCTAAATGTCCTGGATACAAATTGCTGTTGACGAGAATTATTAGTGGCTCCTTTTTCGCTATGACATTTTTGACTAATTTATTTTTAGAGAGTAAGTAATATAGTGATTTCTTCGTCACAGGACATCTTGCAGAATGACAGTGATTTAAATACAGTGCATGATAGAGAACATAAAAAACCAATGGCAACAAAATTAATAAATTCGGAAAATACTTTTAACATACCACCCGAAAAAATATTAGATATATATAAATCATCCTGTTTCGGCCTAAACATTATAAATGCTTCACAAACTAGAGATACCACACTTAATGATATTTGCAACAAACTATTTCAGAAGTCAGACCAAGGAATTAGTAGTTCAGAATCCAGAAAGAAATATATGAATTTTATGATATTTACAAAAACAAAATAAAAGAAATTACATAAAACAGCAATTTATCTTTAAAAAATATTTAACAATTTATGTTATTAAAGTTGTTATATAAAAATAAATATATAAAAATTGTATGTCTAATAACTATGGTTCACGTCCAATTACTATACGTTTTTGCATGTTTTATAAAACTACATATTATTAAAAATTTAAATATCCTTATTTTTAGGTAAACGTAAATAAAGTTTCAACAAACAAACTATCCTTTTTTTATATTTATACTTAAATCTTTAAAACAACGCCATATATAAATTATAAATCCCTTAATTATCCAATATCTATGTGGTTTACCCTAATAGCTTTTGCTAATAAATGATTTATTTATTTATATAAATAGTCTTAAAGCTAGGCTTAAACTAGACAATTCTGACGTGTTTAGTCATTTAAAACACTTTGAAAGCATTTTAAAAACATCCATACCTATTCACATTAAAACTAAAAAACTGCTTATAATTTATGATCCAAGTCGGTGTTGGGCACGCTCTGGTTATAGCCAGTGTTTTTCCATCACACTTCGCTCAAGGCAAGACTTGATTAACTTTCGGTTTTATAATTCCGCCTCAAATCAAATCTCATTTGAATATCTTTATGCAGTTTTCCTTTGATCTTGATTGATGTTAATTTCTCGTCTTCTCCATTCCCTCCAATCAAAGCGCTGTATCGCATAATTACGTATGCGCTTTTCTTGGAGATATAAGGAAGATGTTACGCTGTAATTTGCGAAGTTATTTGAAGTTTTCATAATTTGTTTTAAATGTTTCTTGGCAACACAAAGAACGTTTTTAAATTTGCAAAAGAAAATTCGCTTGTTTTACATTAACATGGACATATCAGTAGATTTAACTTGTATAACCACTTTCTTCTATTTATCTATCTTCAACAATTTGCTAGGAATGCCAACGCAAAACACATGTTACTTATTAGCCGATAGAAATCATTGAAGAAATTGAAACGTTTTAATATCGAAGCGAGCGTTTTTTTCTGAGAGCTGTTTCTCGGAATCAAAGAAACTATTATGGTATAATATTGCGTGATTACATAAATAATTAGATACATAATAAGGTGTTTGTTTTTCATCGTTGATACACAGCTAACAATTTATTTTGTGTTTACAGGAGTCAGTCTAAAGCCTCTTACTTGGCTTCTAGACGGGATAGGGAGAGAATTGTTCATGATTCTGAAACTGGAGTGTATAAAAGGACAATGTCTCCAAATGGACATGCCATATCTCCTGAAGTTATCATTGAACAGCAGAGAGTTAATAGTAGGGAAACTATATGGCCTCTGAATAGATCCAACAAAGATATTGTTAAAAATAACAATAACACCAATATATTCCGAAGAATATCTATGAACGAAAAACAGAAAACCAATTTGATCAAAGATAAATCGGATGAAAAAATCATCAAGAAACCTTTGGCCTTACCGGACGTACTTCCTGTCAACGTTAAAATGTTAGGACCCAGACCACAACATCAACAATACAACCGACCAACTCATCTCAGCTTATCTCCTTTGGATGACTCCAAGAAAGCCCCCAAAACACCTCCATCGTCCCCTCCAAAAAGTCCCCCAAGAGGCTCGCCTTTCACCCCCTTAAGAACCACACATTTATCCAACGTACCTCCAATCACCTCCCCCATAACGTCAACCCCGCAAAGAATAAGCTCCCCAGGATCTCCGAAAAGAACCTCCCCTCACATCAAACCATCCCTATCGCCCAGCTCCCCCATGAAAATCTCCCCCATCCGCAACTCCCCCACATCCCCAATGATAACTCCCCCATCGTCCCCCAAAACAGCCCCGTCGCCCCCCCTATCCCCCGTCAAGAAGGACGAGTGTCCCAAGGTGGTCGAGGGGCTGCAGATGATTCAGAGGACAGAGGTCACTCTGAGAGTGAACACCTCCACGACTGATGCCTCCTCCCAAACGGAGAAGGAGGAGTTACCTCCCACCCCCCTGCCGACGAGGAAGAAGCTGCAGGAGGAGATCGAATGCGAGAAGTTGTCAGAGGACTTCGTGAATCATTTACCCACATCAGATAGACTGAAAGATATATTGGGTGAGTACAAGACTTTTAGAATCCAAATAATAATAATAATATTAATAATTGAATTACAACAGAAAATAATAAAAATGACAGGTTAAAAAGATAAATTAAATGTTTACTAAACATGTTTCTACTTTAAAAAACAGTAGAGACAAAAAAAACTTCATGATTTTTTTAAATACATTAAAGGGTTTTTCTCTTAGACCATTTGGCAAATTACACAGGCCGACAAAAATAAAATTTCTGTTTGGTGCATGGCAACCAACAACTTTTTAAGGGTAATTTGGGTACGCTGAATCCAAAAATGAACATCATTTTGCTCAATCAGCTCTTTTTTTGCGATGTAGAATAAAAACCATTTTTTTCGATATGCGCACATTCAAATTCTTATATATATTTTTTTAAACTTCTAATTTAAGCAAGGATAGTTGGTAATGTTGCTATGGGTCTTTATTAAACTTTAAAAAAATACCATATACATTGATAATGGTATTCTCTTTAAAAGTCTTGCTTTCATCGAAAGAAAATCGATTTTTTAGCCAAAATTCGGATATTTTTAAAATTCAATAAATTTTTGTCCAATTTAATAAAATTTACCCTATTTGTAGCTCTATTTATCTGCTTTATAGTGTTAAAATTTCAATGCAATCAAAAATTTAATTAGAGTAGTGCTGCCGTGCTAAGCTAAACCCCCGTATCTGCAATATTAAATAAAAGATCATTTTCATTGTTAAAAACAATAAAAACTATCTTTTGTCCTTTATTATTTAATATTGCAGATACGGGGGTTTAGCTTAGCACGGCAGTGTATGATAGTAGAGTATTGAGAGCAGCAGCAGATAGGTACTCTACTCATACTCTCATACACTAGAATTAATAGAAAAAAAACAATAATATTTTTGACATCTTTTTATTAGACATACTTAAAATCATATCTAAAATCCTAGGCACAAAAATTGTCCACTTAAATAGGCTCTGTGAATATTAATAGCTATTCACGGAGTTTATTTAAGTGGTACACATAGTACCCAATTTTGGTTGATTGTATTGCCATATGGCATATGTTGCTAATTTTTATTTGATTGCATTAAAATTTTATCACTATAAAGTAGATAAATAGAGCTACAAATAGGGTAAATTTTATTTAAATCGGGAAACAATTGATCATGCTGTATCACTTTGAATTTTAAAAATTTCCGAATTTTGGCTAAAAATCGATTTTCTTTCGATGAAAGCAAGATTTTTAAAGAGAACACCATTATCAATGTATATGGTATTTTTTTTAAGTTTAATAGCAACATTACCAACTATCCTTGCTTAAATTAGAAGTTTAAAAAAATATATTTAAGTATTTGAATGTGCGCATATAAAAAAAATGGTTTTTTGTTACACCGCAAAAACATGAGCTGATTGAGCAAAATTATGGTCATTTTTGGGTTCGGTGTACTCAAATTACCCTAAAAAAGTTGTTGTCTACCCTGCACCAAAATGGCTGGCAAGAGGCGAATTCCCACGAAGTAATGAGACTTTTCATATTTTGCATGCCAATGCATTTCAATAGGGATTTCATCCTTAGATCTGGTGGTGTATTTTGTTATTATGTACCAGACAAAGAAGTTTGTATATATACAGGGTGAGTCATTTAACTTGAAACTTTGAAATTTCTCAGATAGTATGCATTTTACGAAAAAATGTTTAAAATAAAAATTAAATGATTCGAGGGGGGAAATCAATCAATACTAAAATTGGTCCTCATACTCTACTCATTTTAGGGGGAACAGGGGGTAACTTTAAAATTTCCAATGGAACACCTTATTTTTTATTGCAGATTCAGATCATTCGACTAAAAATAGGTAGATTTTGTCTAGAACATTTTTTCATATTTGTAATAGATGGCGCTGTAATGAAAAAAAATCAATTTTGTTCGATTTTTCTTCTGTATACGATTTTGCAATAATTTTTCTATAAAAATATCACTTTTTTGGTAATAATTATCTTATTAAATTAGGTAAATATGATTTTTTTAAGTACCCACGATTTTTTAACTAATATTTCGGTGATACATATATAATTGCGCACCATGGTCACTTTGTACCTGCCAGCATTAAATCCTTTAATTTAAAGGATAATTGTACTATTTTTAATAAAAATACCTCATTTAAGGTTAAAAAAACATTATTTTGTCAATTAATTAATTTAATCCTAATTGATGTATAAAAAATTGTATTTAGTTATAAATAATAATTATTATTGAGGTATAATGAAACTATTTATACATAGTTTAGCATTATTTAATCAATTTAGTTCGAAGATTAATTTGCAAACAAAAAGACCTCCTTTCATTAAGCAGTTTTTCATCATGGATTTTTTAACAGTGGAAGAAAAAATAGAAATGATTTTGATTTATGGAGAAGCAGGCAGGAATCTTGATGATTCTGTTAATATCTACGCTCAGCGTTTTCCGGATAAAATTCGATCACGTACTTTATTTCACCGTACAGTCGAGCAGTTTAATACAAACGGGAGTGTTCAACCTAAAAAAGAGTTCGTCGAGCAACAGTCAAAGGTGGAAATAATGAAATTAATGTATTAGCAGCAACGGCCGCTAATCCTCATGCAAGCACACGAGAATTATCTAGAGAACTGAGATATTTCAAAGTTTCAAGTTAAATGAGTCACCCTGTATACTAAAAGTTAAAAGAATCTATTTTTTGTTTCGATTAAAAATAACCCTAATGCAAGATAAAAATTCTATTACTTTTTCTAGCAAGACCCCAGGATAAAATATTAAAACTCAAAAAGGTATAAATATTTGAAAAATACAGATTACTTAAGTAGAGATGAAATATTTAATTTGTCCCTTAGGCTATATAATTGATAGATGGATTTTTTTAGTTTCATAGCTATTAAATTGATGTGTTCATCCCATGTAAAAGACTTATCTATTATAATATTATCATTCCTAGAGAAATTAAAAAATTGATTATTGATTTAAATTTCTTTCTTAAGATTACCATAGGAGAATTGGATCTACACAGTTTTTTTTACATTAATTATTAATCTATTTTTAAAACACCAGTTGCTTGATTCAGTTATCACAGTTTGAATTAAATTAACAATTTCACTTTCGGTCTTGCCATATACAATAATAGTTTTAGGACAGTTTATAAAATGTCTAAGAGTTTTAAAACATTCTAAATGGTTTCTATAACATATTTAATCATTTAAACCGTTATAACAAATTCTATTTATTTTTTATTAGTTCCAGGCCCAGACCACAAAAAACCAACGGACTACGTATACGGATTGTTCCGTGTGGATGTGACGTCACGACCAAGGCCAGCCAATTCGCCATTTAGAAGTAGGAGCAATACTCCCAGCAGCAGTCCACCACCTTTGCTTGTTACTATTCCCAATACGACTAGTACCAGTACTAGTACATCCAAACTAAGGTAAGATTTTTATAGAAAATCTAAATATAGACAGTTAATTGAAATTATATTTTTCAGTTTATCACCGACGATTCAATCATCAATACCAAGCTTGGAACCAACAAGCCCACTATCAGGCAACTCGATCTACTTCACTACGTCTGAACCAAAAGCAAAGTTTTTGACCAGGTTTAGTCAGGATATGAACCAATGCCACATCGTGAAAGATACCAAAGATCTAAGTCAAAAGAAGGTAATATACCCAGTCAGCATCCAATTCAGAAAGATTTCAGTATGAAGTCTTTTAAACAACTTCGTGTAGAAGTTCTAACATGACGTCTTAAACAGCTCCTTTTTATCCAGCTCCATACCAAACGGTCTTAGACCTAGGTAAACGGCTACCCGATACTGACGAGCTCCAAAAGAGCGAAACAGGCCGTCTATCGGTGCCGGTGAAGAGCACGCTTGAATTTAAACAAAAGTGAGACAAAGTAATCGCAATTCCTAAAATAAGCGAATACGATCAAATTATTAAAATGATTTTAATAAAATCAATTTAACAAATTAATAAAATTAATAAAATAAACTTGACATGTCAAAATAAGCAACGATCGAGTATGCAATTTCTTCATCAGTACACTAGTAGTACTTCTATATCCAAAACGGAAAATTCTAAAGAAGTCTTTTTATAAGTTTATACAGTAGGACTCTTTAAATTGCGAAGTCAAAGAAAAGGGTTCCTCAAGAGTTCTTTTTTGAGAAGTCTTGATTAGTTCAATAGGTGGCGCATTCGAAGTCTTAAGAACTTCTTAAGAACTTCTTTCTGATGTTGTATTTGACGTCCAAATCATAAAATAGAGCTTATGCAGACTTAATTAAGAAGTCATATTGCTGTCTGGGATATCCTTTAATCGCCATAATGAAATAAACTAATTCTTATTCTTTTTATTTCAGGAGGAATTAGTAAACCGTCTGGACAAAAAACTGGAAGTTCTCAGAGGTGAACAACTGGAGGTTTTGGAGGAATGCAAAATCAACGAGGAATTGGGGGAAAATGTGGAATCACACATCAATAGACTAGCAAGACCCCATGAGACTGCAAAATTCAGACTCCACATTGAGGAAGTGGGAAAAATAACAAGTCTACTTTTGGGGTTATCTGGTAGACTAGCCAGAGCTGAAAACGCCTTGATGGGAATGGTGGAAGAACACCCAGAAAAGGTAAGATTACACTGTGCGACAATTTTCGGGTCATCGAAATCAAACCGCACCGGACCATTTTTTCCTGACTATTTCCCTCGTCTTAATTTCCACCAATCACAAACGCGCAATTTTGAATTACAAATGGTTTCTAGGTGAAAAAACTGTGTGACAGCACCTGTCAGCAGTTTATTCGAGTTTACCCGCGGCAAAACTTGACAGCTGTTGTCACCAAAAATTGCAATTTATATTTTAATTGTTAACTGTTACCGAGGGGTAAACCACTTTAAAATCTTATAGAACAACGTTCAATGTTAGTGGACGTTGTGTTGAGATTTTTTTTCCTTATCAGTCGTTATCAATAAGGAAAACTTGCTTAATCGGTGCTTAATCAGTGCTTAGCGACGCGTTGTACATGACTACCCTTGTTATTGTTATCCTTAGCCGTTAATTTGTAAGCGATTTTTAAATTAAAAAAATCAGTGGTTTACCCCTCGACTGTTACTCATGAAATAGTCTTGTCAAATACCATTCGGGCATCTAATTTTTCCTGTGAAAAAAATCGAAAAAACACAATGCTAAGTAATATTTTTTAACAAAAAGCATTCGTGCAGGTGCAAAAATCCTCCTCTTCGACTCGGATTTTTGTTGCCACCAGCACTCATGCTTCTTGTTAAAATATTACTTAGCAACGTGTTTTTTCGATTTTTTTCGGAAAAATTAGGTGCCCTTATGATATTACTTACGAAAATATACCTATCCACTAGCAAAACCCTCGCTGGGTTTGTAAAAGTTAGCACGAATTTTTTTTTACGGCCGTTTGTATTTTTGAGCTTAGACCCATAAATCGATTTTTTGCGCATATATTCGATTTATATCGTCAAGATTTTTTGTAGAAATGTAGTTACTGCACAAATAAACCCATTTTGTGAACAACCTTTATCCCAAAAACCCAATTTTTGGGACCAAATATTCGAAAATTTTTTTTTTAATTTTTGATAATATTTAAAATTTCTTGCTACTTCTTCTGGCAGGAATGTTGTAAAGTATACTAAAAGAAGTAATTTATAAAATACGCACACAAAACTGAACTTTAAGTTTGCTTATTTGCTGGAAAATAATGTTTAAACAAGATTTTCCAAAATATTCATCTTTTCACACTCAACACCAAATATTTTGCCAAAAAATCTGTAGGAAAAAATTGAATAGATAAAATAGAATTGTAGAAAAGTACAGAGAGTTTGATTTTTTATTTTGTATTAATTTTATTATTAAAAAACTTTTTTATATCAAAACATTGAGTAATCTGATTCATTGCTGAAGAATTCCATCCGTTCCACTTCTTCTCCTTTATTTCCTTGCTCTTCATTTTCATTTTTTGATTCATCACTGGAGAATTTCATCCCTTCCACTTCTTCTCCTTAATTTTCTTGTTCTTCATTTCCATTTTCTTCCTGATCGTAGTCAAAAATATGTTAACTTCACCAAAATGTTTCGGCTAGTATGGCATCTGGAGCTCGTTTTCCTCAAATGGCATCGCAGTTTGATGATTGTGTCGATAACTGTCGACTGAAGTAATCCAAATGGCGATGAGGGAAATGAATTTTTAGCGACATATTGACTCCAATTTTGGAAAAAAACATCCAACATTCGTCGCACAGATCCTTCATAATTGGGAGAACGACGTTTGCCTAAAAGTCCAACGATGATTTCTCTTATCGACGCCCACGCAACTATCTCATCCTCAACCAAAGCCCTGTCAAAGTCTTCATACTTTACCAATTTCCGAATATCAGGACCATTTAAAACGCCTGAAATGAAATGAATATAAAAAATATATGAAATGAAGGGATGGAATTCTCCAGCAATGAATCAGATTAGGTACTCAATGTTTTGATATAAAAAAGTTTTTTAATAATATACTTTACAACATTTTTGTCAGAAGAAGTAGCAAGAAATTTAAAATATTATCGAAAAATTGAAAAAAAAATAATGTTTCGAATATAGATATAGTTTGTTCACAAAATGGGTTTATTTGTTCAGTAACTACATTTCTACAAAAAATCTTGACGATATAAATCGAATATATGCGAAAAAAAGTCTAAATTGGGGTATATGAAGCTAGAAAATACAAACGGCCATAAAAAAATAAATCGAGCTAACTTTTACAAACCCAGCGAGGGTTTTGCTATTGGATGGGTATATTTTCAGAAAAAAATAGTCCGGTGCGGTTTGATTTTTGGTGTTGCACAGTGTTATTCTTTCACAAAACATCCAAAAATATTAACAATACGTTTTCTTTTAACAGAGGATCCTGGAATCGAAACGCGACAAACTGCAAGACCAGCTTGAAGAAGCCAAGAAGTTGAAGGACTGCATCGACCGCAGGAGTGTCAGTGTTTCGAACATCCTCTACAAATACCTAAACTCGGAGGAATACGCCGACTACGATCACTTCATCAACATGAAAGCAAAATTGATAATGGACTCGAAAGAGATATCGGACAAGATTAAGTTGGGGGAAGAGCAACTGATGGCTCTCAAAGAGACTCTCATTGTAACCGACTGAATCCAAGTGTTAGTTTTAGAGCATGAAAGGGTTTTTGATGGAGCTTTAATTTTACATTAAAAAAATGGTTTAAATTCGTAAAATCAATGTTTTTGGTTATGGGAATGTATTTTGGATCACCCTTTTATGCTCTTCAAAGAGACTTCCTATTGTTGACAATCCAACAAAAATTTAAATTTTGAATTAAAAAAACACACGTCGCTTATGTTTTATTTCTTTCTCGAGTTAGAATTGAACTCCATGTAATCTGCTTCTGGTACAAAAGTGTTATACACTGTTTTTTTTTATTTTAAAATTTTAGATTTTTGGCAGTAGGTGTTTTTTTCGTGTAGGTATATGCTTATCATCCGAGTTCTATCGGATGTGCCTAGTCCATTGACAATTCCTTTGCTTTCTTGGATCTTTCCCGATGAAAAAGCATCGGGATATACATTTTGTACATTTATATGTTTTATTTTTTAGTTTTAATTAAATAGTACTTATTAGCGCGGTATTTCAAACGTTTGTGATGCTATAGAACTAATGTTTGAGAATATCATGTTTTTACTTAATGTAGGGTACACCTCGCATGATGTGGTAGTGTGTGGCCGCTTTAGCCAATCCATGGCCGCCTCTTACCGTTTTCAAAAACGGATAAGACGGTGAGATTTCTGAGCAGACTAGGCTGTTATTTTTTGTGCATTTCGTGTTTAAGTTAATCTATTTATAAGTGCAAATATGGTGAATTCCGTAAGGGGGTGACGAACACAAATTAATAATTTATTTAAAAGATTTTTATCATTTTTTGACGCGTTCGTTACTTGTTTTGCGGAATACCTGAAACATCTTCCTACCAAGTATTTAATGTATCTTAGAATGTATAGACCAACAAAATTGTATCTTTTTTATTTGAATTGTAAATATTGTGTGAAAATGAAATGAAATCGAATATTATGGTGCTCTGGAAATTGTGCAAAACGTATTTGCATTGTGATTTTATTAGTGTTGAAACCAGTCGTATAATTGTATTTTCTTATATAATTTTAATTTGTCATATAGAAAGATGTTACTTACATACCTTCAAATTTAAATAGACTATTTTTGAGCTTTACGCATTGCTTGCAATAAATAATTAAATAACCAATCATACCATCTTGTTTTATTTAACATTTTTACTCAAAGTCATGTCAACCTCAACTGTCTTATTTAAGTTGTTACCATTAAAACAGGTAAGACCAATACGCTAAAGAAGTATCGCTAGTAGCGCCACCACTCGGCTGTTAACATCGTAACAAAAGTACAACTTTTGATAATCAGCTGTTAAACGCTTGTGTTACAAACGAGTGTTTTTGAGAATAAAGCTGGAAAATGTTAAAAAATATCGAAAAAAAACCGTGGCACGATTTGTTGTTTTATTGGGTGTATTTCGAGAGGAAATCCTGGGTTGAGTTTTTATCGGTTTTCCAATAAGCAGTATTAATCCGAATGAAGAAATAAATTTCATACAGTCCCTGTAAATATAAATTGTATCTATTAGATACAATAAATACACATTTTAGTAACGATTAACGTTAAAAGTGTAAACATTTCAATTCAGTAATAATCGTCAAACAAATAAGTCGTCTAAATTTAAACAGCATTTAGCATTACTAAAAGCGTTGATTAAGAATTCTTTAAAGTCTCCACTCAACGGTAAAATACCATTATATTATATATTATTATGTTGCCATGAATTCGTAGGTATATTTTGTTGTTTATACGCCGCGGCGTTTTTTAGAGAATATAAATTATATTAGATAAAGGTATCATTACTTAATTCTGCACCAACAAATGTACTTACCGAATGGGATCCTTTGGCAAAACATGAAAATGCAACGATTTAGTTCTTGAATTTTATTTACAATTAAAAACACAATAATTCACCATGATCCCTTGGATAAAATACACACTAACGTAACATATGAGCATTTAAGCGTTGAGTTTCTTAATCAATGAAATAAAGAATAATCAATCGAAATCGAGTACTAAACCAGTTTTTTAGTTTTTTCCTTGCAACGTAAAACACAAATAACGTGCGCGATTTAGCTGTGCAATTGAACAAAATTTGTCGAGTAAGACTTCTGCCTTCCTCTATTTTGTGAAAAAACTACCTATTTATTTAAAAATGATGTACAGTTCGTATGCTTTAAATGTATTGTTGACAATTCTTAAATTCACGCAATGCTTTTGAAGTCCACCAGATGGAAAAGAAATATTCATTGGGAATATTCCTAGAATGATCCTCTAAAACTTCCAAGCATCATCTAAGAATATTCCCAGTGAATATTCATTAGTTTAGTTGCAATACCTCTCACCGTTGCTTACGCACGCTTGATAACTATATATACCGATAGGTTAATAATATTAGTTGGAGATGTGCGTCTGTGATGGCACAGCCAAACAATGATTAGAGTGGGACTGATATACTCAGTAACTCAATAATGGCTATACTTAAGTTAAGTTCCTGGGTTTAAGAGGCAATATGGGCTGGGAATAATCCCCAAATTATATCAAGGAATATTCCCCTAATAATCCTTGAGTCTTCTGCAGGCAGATATAGGGAATATTCTTTTTATGATGCCTGGGTTAATCAAAAAGCGGACATTTGATTATGCCAGGAATATTCTGGGACGATCGGAATATTCCTAATGTGATTTTGCGGTCTGGTATGTATACATACATACGTACAAAATAACAAAGTTGAAGTCACTTCCGGTTAAACCGGAAGTTGCATTTTGTTCAAAATATTGTAGAAAAATGGATTATAAACGCTTTTAAAATTTCAAATCGATATCTTTTTCCGTTCCCCAGCAACTGCTAATGGATCACGAATGTGAAACACCCTGTATAACAATTTAAAATTCCAATATGGCTGCCATATAAAAAACAAAAGATGGGGGTACCTCAAAATCTTGTAGGCGAAAAAATTAATAAAACTGTATTTTTTTTCAAAAATTCCCAGAAATAACAATTTTGGTTTTGACAGGTTTTCAGTTTTTTTCCAAATATTTTTTCAATTTTTAAATGCAATTTTAATAGACTTATTTAATTACAATAATTTACCATGATCCCTTAGATAAAATAAATACACTAACGTAACTATATAAGCATTTAAGCGTTGAGTTTCTTAATGAATGATATAAAGAATAATCAATCGAAATCGAGTACTAAACCAGTTTTTTAGTTTTTTCCTTGCAACGTAAAACACAAATAACGTGCGTATTTAGCTGTGCAATTGAACAAAATTTGTCGAGTAAGACTTCTGCCTTCCTCTCTTTTGTGAAAAAACTACCTATTTATTTAAAAATGATGTACAGTTCGTATGCTCTAAATTTATTGTTGACAATTCTTAAATTCACGCAATGCATTCTCCACCAGATGGCGCGCGCGTTGCGAAAACCCGATACTTCTTTAGCGTATAAAAATTCCCTAATTCCTTATCAATTTTTATAGAGCTGGCAACACCGCAATCCCCCAATCGGCCTTGCGAGTCGCGACTCGCGAGTCGCATGTTGCGACAGTAACCGATCGCGCGAAGTGACGCTCTGACGTCAACAATGTCAGAAGACACTAAATTTAGTTTAACGGACAACTTCGACTACGAAAGGTCCACGCAATTAACAACTAAAAAATTAATAGCGGCCATCAAAACGAGAAACGCTTTGTGGGACCCCAAAGCCTGCAATTACAACAAGAGAGGCTTTTTGCGAGGACTATGGGACGAGGTGGCTACAATAATGCATATGAATGGTATGTATATAGGCAACCCAGTATGCGTTGATGGGTACAGATAGTATAATCAACACGTAACCATAATGCATCATTTTTCTGTGTTATTACCGTCAACTTCAACCAATAATCGTTATTCCTGGGAATTTGAGAAAATTCAGTTTTACATGTAAACATACACATTTTTATCTAATTTCTTTGCTACTATACAGGGTGAGTTATTTAACTTTGAAATATCTCAGTATGCATTTTACGAAAAAATGTTTAAAATAAAAATTAAATGATTCGAGGATGGAAATCAATCAGTACTAAAATTGGTCCTCAAACTCTCCTCCTTATAGGGGGGACAGGGGGTAACTTTAAAATTTCCAATGGAAAACCCTATTTTTTATTGCAGATTCGGATCATTCGACTAAAAATAGGTTGATTCTTCTGTATACGATACGAGAATTCTTCAACAATTTTTGAATAAAATACTTGTTTTTTTTTTAATTTATTTATTTTTAAATTTTAATTAAAGTAGGTGCTCAAAATGGTAGCCTTCGACTTCAATGCATTTATTAATTCGTATTTCGTTTTAATATTCTGATAACACTGCTCTGGGATATTCCCAAATCTCTAGATAATTATCGTGTGCTTGCATGAGGATTAGCGGCCGTCGCTGCTAATACATTAATTTCATTATTTCCACCTGTGACTGTTGCTCGACGAACTCTTTTTTTCGGTTGAACACTCCCGTTTGTAGTAAACTGCTTGACTGTACGGTGAAATAAAGTACGTGATCGAATTTTATCCGGAAAACGCTGAGTCTAGATATTAACAGCATCATCAAGATTTCTGCCTGCTTCTCCATAAATCAAAATCATTTCTATTTTTTACCACTGTTAAAAAATCCATTATGAATAACTGCTTAACGTTTGCAATTTAATATTCGAACTAAATTGATTAAATAATGCTAAACTATAAATAGTTCCTTTATACCTCATTAATAATTATTATTTATAACTAAATGCAATTTTTTTATACCTCAATTAGGATTAAATTAATTGACAAAATATTGTTTTTTTACCTTAAATGATGTATTTTTGTTTAAAATAGTACAATAATCCCTTAAATTAAAGGATTTAATGCTGGCAGTAGGGGTGTGCGAATAATTCGAATTTACGAATAATTCGTATCGAATCGAATATTATTATTCGATTCGAAATTCGAATCGAATAATTCGAATTAGCGAATTATTCGAAAGTTTCGAATCATTCGAAAAATCCACGAATTATTCGAAAATTTTCGAATAATTCGAAAATTTTTCGAATAATTCAAAAATTTACGAATGATCCGTGAATGGATGAATAATTTAAAAATTTTCGAACCCATCGTCAATTTTTTTGATATTTTTCGAATTTTGAGATGTTCAAACTTTGAACATCTCAAAATTCGAAAAATATCAAAAAAATTGACGATGGGTTCGAAAATTTTTAAATTATTCATCCATTCACGGATCATTCGTAAATTTTTGAATTATTCGAAAAATTTTCGAATTATTCGAAAATTTTCGAATAATTCGAATTTTTCGAATAATTCGTAAATTCGAATTATTCGATTCGAATTTCGAATCGAATAGTACTATTCGATTCGATTCGATTCGAACGCTATTCGCACACCCCTAGCTGGCAGGTAAAAGTGACCATGGTGCGCAATTGGTAACTATCACCGAACGAAATAATGTATAAAACTTAAACCAAAGGAAACTTAAATATTAGTTAAAAAATCGTGGGTACTTCAAAAAATCAGATTTAATTTAATAAGATAATTATTACCAAAAAAGTAATATTTATATAGAAAAATTATTGCAGAATCGTATACAGAAGAAAAATCGAACAAAATTGATTTTTTTTCATTACAGTGCCATCTATTACAAATATGAAAAAATGTTTAAGACAAAATCTACCTAGGTATTTTTAGTCGATCCGAATCTGCAATAAAAAATAGGGTGTTCCATTGGAAATTTTAAAGTTACCCCTTGTTCCTCCCATAAGGAGGAAAGTATGAGGACCAATTTTAGTACTGATTGATTTCGTAAATTGCATAATAACTGAGATATTTTAAAGTTTCAAGTTAAATGACACCCTGTATATTGAGTTACCATCACCATCTTTTTTATTATAATGGCCGTAATAACTTATCCCAGACTGCAATGAAGGTTCGAAAATATTCCAGGAATATTCCCTATCCGCTTCATTCTAGGAATATTCATTGGGAATATTCCTAGAATGATCCTCTAAAACTTCCAAGCATCATCTAAGAACATTCCCAGTGAATATTCATTAGTTTAGTTGCAATACCTCTCACCGTTGCTTACGCACGCTTGATAACTATATATACCGATAGGTTAATAATATCAGTTGGAGATGTGCGTCTGTGATGGCACAGCCAAACAATGATTAGAGTGGGACTGATCTACTCAGTAACTCAATAATGGCTATACTTAAGTTAAGTTTAGGTATAAGAGGCAATAAGGGCTGGGAATAATCCCCAAATTATATCAAGGAATATTCCTCTAACAATCCTTGAGACTACTGCAGGCAGATATATATATATATATGGAATATTCTTTTTGTGATGCCTGGGTTAACCAAAAGCGGACATTATGCCAGGAATATTCCTGGGAATATTCTGGGACGCTTGGAATATTCCTGGGAATATTCCTGACATGTGCAGGGAATGTGATTTTGCGGTCTGGGATGTAGTTTTATACATTGTTAAATTTCTCGATTTTTTTTCTACACTCCCTGGTGTTTTACATTCGTGGTCCGGGCCATTAGAAGTTTCTGGAGAACAAAAAAGATATCGATTTGAAGTCTTTTATTCTAAAATATTTTAAACAAAATGACACTTCCGGTTAAACCGAAAGTGACATCAACTTTGTTATCGGCCATTTCAAGCGAATGGACGGGACAAATCACAAAACTGTTTTTATAAAAAAAATTGTAGCTAATTTATTAGATATTATTTTTGCATCAAAATTGTCAAAAAAATTCTTCTATTATTAGGGTATACATTAAATAAAAAAAATCGCAAGAAATATTTTATAAAAGTAGAGATAATTTCAATAATTGACAGGGATGGACGGGACAAGATAAATCTTTTTTTTGTCCCGTCCACACCTTTCAATTACACTGTGCGACAAATTTTGACCTTACAATTTGAACTGGGATGAAATGTGGAAAAATCGAATCTATGCAACCCTCAAAACTAATCTTTAAAGGGGTTTTGCTAGTTTAGCTCGAATAATGGAAATATACAGGGTGTTTCTTTTAACTTGAGACAGCTCAATATCTCGAGAAATACGCATTTCACAGAAAAATGTCTTAAATAAAAGGTTAATGTGACCAAAGGGGACATTATTTGGTGCTACCACTAGCCACCCCCTACCCCTCCTTAAGGGTGAAACTTTGGAAAATCAAATGGAATGACCCGATTTTCACAGAGTTTGGTAGTACATAAAAAAATGAATAACTTTTATTTGAAAGTTTTTTTCAATTTATCAACAGATGGCGCTGTAATTCAAAATTTAAGAAAAAGGGGTTTCCTTGTAAAATGTATTATTTGAAACGTTTGAAAAACAAAAATTAACATTAAATCAACAATAGTCGGCTCTGAAAACAATTTATAACAAATGTTCGAAATGTCGTCCTTCCATTTCAACACATTTTTGAATGCGGGTAATGAATTCTGGCACACAACGCGCCAACATGTCGGGCGGTATCGCATTCCATTTGACTTTCCAAAGTTACCCCCCGTTTCACCCTTAAGGAGGGGTAGGGGGTGGCTAGCGGTAGCACCAAATAATGTCCCCTTTAGTCACATTAACCTTTTATTTAAGACATTTTTCCGTGAAATGCGTATTTCTCGAGATATTGAGCTGTCTTAAGTTAAAAGAAACACCCTGTATATCTCCATTATTCGAGCTAAACTGGTAAAACCCCTTAAAGGATTTGTTTTGGGGGTTGCCTAGATTCGATTTTTTCAGATTTGATCCCAGTTCATTTTTTGTGTTGCACAGTGTTATTAAAATTATATCTACTTTCATAAAATATTTCTTGAGTTTTTTTTATTTAATGTACAACCTAATAAAAGAAGAATATTTTTGACAATTTTGATGCCAAAATATTATATAATAAATAATCTACAATTTTTTTTATAAAAACAGTTTTGTAATTCGTGCGTTTCGCGCGCTTGAAATGGCCGTTATTTCAAATAGAACACCCATACATTTTTGCATTTTTAAATTAGGTATAAAATTCTATGTAAAATTAATATACCATGTGACATGTCATATATCTAATGTATAGTATATTCTGTAACAAGTTTGGAATACGGCATATTTCGTTCGAGTGAAAAGTTTGTCACACGAGCCGAAGGCGAGTTTGACGGTTTCACGAGAGGGGAATATGCAATTCCAAACGTCTTTCAGACTATACTTTTTCTACGTTTCCAAAAAATACCATAGACAAATAATTTAATTGGAAGAAAGTGAGGTTGGATCGGTCTAAAATTTGTTAGATATTAAAAACAGAGATGTCACCACGAGTGTATTTTCTTTCATCAGATGATAGATTATTTCATTCTGTAACACTTTACGGAATAAATGTCATTCCATAGATAAAAGTGATATTATAATATTCCATAATAGGAGTAGAAAAAATAGTTATCGAGTTGAAAAATGTTAAAGAATTGACAAGTAAGCTTTTAAACAATGTTTTATTTCAAAAAAGTTTTAGGCTAATTTTGATTGACGCGCATTTCTCAAATTTTAACGAAAATAATTAATAACTCGAAAACCGTTCACATTAAGTATAGTAATTTTACATACAATTTTATACATAATTTAAAAATCCAAAAATATATTGGGTGTCCTATTTAACATAACAAAGTTGAAGTCACTTCCGGTTAAACCGGAAGTCGCATTTTGTTCAAAATATTTTAGAAAAATAGACTTAAATGGATTATAAACACTTTCAAAATTTCAAATCGATCTTTTTACATTCTACAGAAACTGCTAATGGACCACGAATGTGAAACACCCTGTATAACAATTTAAAATTCCAATATGGCTGCCATATAAAAAACAAAAGATGGGGGTAACTCAAAATCTTGTAGGCGAAAAAATGAATAAAACTGTATTCAACTGTTTTGACAGGTTTTCAATTTTTTTTTAAATATTTGAGAACTGCTGTTTTTTTTTGCAATTTTTAAATGCAATTTGAATAGACTTGTAATACCGCAACTTTTCTCTAATTTAACCGACCTTATAGCTCTTCAAATAAAAAAGATACCCAAACATAAAAAAACTTTTACAAAGTTTCGTGTAAAAAAGTATAAGTTGCCAAAAATTCATATTCATGGCACAAGCGTTTTGACACTAGTAGATTTTAAATCACCAAATTCTAAATAACATTTAGGTATTTATTGCTTTTTCTGGGCATTTTTGATAGCCCTAAATGCATTTTTAACATTCCAAAATTACATGTATTAACAACATTAAATTATTTTTTTAGAGAATACTTGCAAAACAAAATGGAAAAACCTCAGGGACTCGTTTATTCGGGAATTCAAAAAATACAAGGTGAAATATAATAAATGTGGTAAGAAGGTGGGAGAACCCAGGTGGGTTTACTATAAAGACCTGAAATTTTTGACCAGAATCATAATGAAGGACAATCAAGTACGTGATGATGATGATGATGCAGAATATGATACAATTGGCATAAAAGAAGAAATTCTGTCATTTACTGAAGAAGAGTCAAATGAGACAAATCATTTTGACATTAAAATTGAAGTGGATGAACCTGAGCCAAAAAAATTAAGGATTGAAAATAGTGGTCAAACAAATACAATCCCACCAGTACCTGATGAAAGTATGGAACAAAATAGCGACTATTATTTTTTGATTAGTTTGTTACCATACATGAAAAAAATACCTGAAGAGAAAAAGTTACTTGTTAGAAATAAAATACAGAATGTTATACTAGATGAAGGTGAATAAATAAATACATGTAAAATTAAAATGCTTTTATTAAATTAACATTAAAATAATATATGTGGTTATAAACATTATGAAAATGCATAGTTTTGAAATTGATATAAAATATTTTGTGAGGCACTTAAAGCTGAGAAACTTCATAGAGATAGGCACCCAATGGTTTAGTCTAAAAAAAAAACCAAAGTGTTGACAAAAAATCTGAAATCCAAACTCCGATTTCACTTACACCGCCGATGTAGTTCCTGACGTCGACCTTTTCGTTCTGCGAGTGCGCCCCGTCGTCTCCGGCGCCCACGGGTAGCAGAAGAACGTTTTTTTCCGTGGCAGTTTGCAGGGTCAAAGTCACGGGAATGGAACCTCCTTCAATGCAATTGAATAGGCTTGTAATTACGCAACTTTTCTCTAATTTAACCGAAAAAAATATACCCAAACATAAAAAAAAAAATTTTTCATGTAAAAAGGTATAAGTTGCTAAAAATTATATCGTGACGATGATTTCCAACCAAAATGATCTATCTGCTTGTGACACTAGTAGATTAAATCTACTAGATTTTAAATCACCAAATTCTAAATAACATTTAGGTATTTATTGCTTTTTCTGGGCATTTTTAACATTCCAAAATTACATGTATTAACAACATTAAATTATTTTTTTAGAGAATACTTGCAAAACAAAATGGAAAAACCTCAGGGACTCGTTTATTCGGGAATTCAAAAAATACAAGGGAGAACCCAGGTGGGTTTACTATAAAGACCTGAAATTTTTGACCAGAATCATAATGAAGGACAATCAAGTACGTGATGATGATGATGATGCAGAATATGATACAATTGGCATAAAAGAAGAAATTCTGTCATTTACTGAAGAAGAGTCAAATGAGACAAATCATTTTGACATTAAAATTGAAGTGGATGAACCTGAGCCAAAAAAATTAAGGATTGAAAATAGTGGTCAAACAAATATAATCCCACCAGTACCTGATGAAAGTATGGAACAAAATAGCGACTATTATTTTTTGATAAGTTTGTTACCATACATGAAAAAAATACCTGAAGAGAAAAAGTTACTTGTTAGAAATAAAATACAGAATGTTATACTAGATGAAGGTGAATAAATAAATACATGTAAAATTAAAATGCTTTTATTAAATTAACATTAAAATAATATATGTGGTTATAAACAATATGAAAATGCATATAAGTTTTGAAATTGATATAAAATATTTTGTGAGGCACTTAAAGTTGAGAAACTTCATAGAGATAGGCACCCAATAGTTTAGTCTAAAAAAAAACAAAATGTTAACAAAAAATCTGAAATCCATCGATTTCACTTACACCGCCGATGTAGTTCCTGACGTCGACCTTTTCGTTCTGCGAGTGCGCCCCGTCGTCTCCGGCGCCCACGGGCAGCAGAAGAACGTTTTTTTCCGTGGCAGTTTGCAGGGTCAAAGTCACGGGAATGGAACCTCCTTCCCGTGTCATGTCTGGTTCGATGTTGTAGACATGCTGAGTGGCCTTGGATGCCGCTTCGTAGTGAGGGTGTTGTGGGTTCTCGGTCCACGGGAAACCACCGTCGGCCATGAAAGCCTGGCGAGGGGTTACGTGAAGTTAGAATTTTCAACAATGCGTTTTTTTGTATTTCTTTTACACATAATTTTTGACGTGTTTGTTTAGTTGGCGAATTCAAACTACCAGGGCTGGTATACGCAGTGGCGTATTTAGGATTTAGCTCCGGGGGGGGGGGGTCCAAAAAAACTAACTAAATATGTACTATGCTATGCTTTAATAACTAAAAAATCACAAATTAAGAACTCTTCTGATCCGATAAAATAGAAAATAATTTACATCACAACCATGATACAAGTATCATGCATCACAACAATAGACTTATCCAATGAATGGATAGCGCGTGCGTGAAAAAGAGCGGCATCTTTTTCTTTATTATAATAAGGAAAGAGACGCCACTCTTTTTCACGCACGCGCTATCTATTCATGGTATAGTTCTATTTCTGTTCGCGCCTCGATCATAACGACACGATAAAGAGGTAGGAACGATATACAGGGTTGCCAAACCACCTCTTTCTCTTTAATACGTAAGTAGTTGATTTTTGATTTTAATGATATTATATTTAAATATAATTAATAAATAATAAAGTATGTTGACAGTCTTAAGGTTTTTATTTTTTTTTAAATTTTTTTTGTAATAAAAATAATAAAATATGTGCGCCCGGGGGGGGTCCGGACCCGGCGGACCCCCCCCTAAATACGCCACTGGGTATACGTAATGCGCGGCACGAACGAAACTATAGTTTCGTTCGTGCCGCGCATTACGTCACTCGATGAGTAATAGCCGCGTGAATACACGAATAATAGCAATATTATCAAAGAATATAGAGAAATATCAGGACATAGTCCTTTTTTTAATTTGATATTGAAGATAGTGTTAATATATTATATTATGGATGCTAGATGCTTTGGAAAAATATTTGATACCATTTAAATATATTTTTTATTATTATTTATATATGTATATTAGGGTGGTCCTTATTTAGGGTGTGTTCGAATTTTTCTTCACGATAGTCCTAAATAGGTTCCAAATATTTAAAAAAAAAGTAATGTGCCAAAGTGCAGCTCTTAATTTTAAAATTAAGCCGGCCCCCCCCCCCCCCGACAGCCAAAGTTTTAAATGGAAATAACATGGGAAAAGTTCTGTTATTACTTTGGATTTTTTTAAGTCATGAACTTATAAACGGATTATATAGAAGGTGTAACTAACTTTTTAGGGTCACGATTACCCTGAAAGTTTTCTAAAAAATAGAACCATCTAAAATATAAATTATAACCCTTTTTACATTTTTGAATCATCAAACCACAATAAAAATGGAAAAACCATGGAATTGACTAGAACTTTGATTTTGACCTCAAATAACTTTTGAACCAGTCAAGTTAGCAAAAAATCACAAGAAACCTTTTTTGTAGAGCGTTAAATTTGTTACAAGAATATTTATCCTTCTATATAATCCGTTTATTAGTTCATGACTTAAAAAATCCAAAGTAATAACAGAACTTTTCCCATGTTATTTCCATTTAAAACTTTGGCTGTCGGGGGGGGCCGGCTTAATTTTAAAATTAAGAGCTGCAATTTGGCACATTATTTTTTTTATATATTTGGAACCTATTTAGGACTATCGTGAAGAAAAATTCGAACACACCCTAAATAAGGACCACCCTAATGTATACATTATAAGAAAACACCTACAATGGTTTTGCTAGATGCTTTGAAAAATATTAATTACTATTTAAATCTATTTTTTTTATTATTAAAAGAAAATACAATAACTTGTTTTAAAAGACTGTCACCTAAAAAAGTTTCATCCTTTGTGAGGTTAGTGTGTACTTTGTTTTCATTGATTACTGACAGTTCAGTTGCTATTGTGGTTTCTCTGGGGCTACATGAACAGTTTAGTTTACCAGAGCGAAGTTGCAGCGGCAGATGAAATCCGAAATCATCCGGATATGATAACAAGGTAACAATTTTCTACGCCTTGGTGTGGATAATAACAGGTATTATGATTTTGTGGATCACTTAAAAAAATAGCTACATGAGCATCAATCGACGTAAAAAGTGAAATGTGAAATTTAAAATCGACGGGAAAACCACGGAAACCTCGTGATACCTAACGATAAAAAGTAAGTATTGTTTTATTTAAAGTAGGTACCTAAAAATAGCTAAAAATGAAAAACAAAAAACAATTATCAAAAAAGTAATCAATTATGACACAAATGTAAATTTTTAATTAATGTAGATTATTGCCCACTGTGCAAGCATATTTTGCGTCAGTTGTCATAGGTCAGGAACAACCAGTGGCGGCACAAAATTTCTACTTTACTTATACAAGTTTTAATGATTTTTTTAATAAAAACAAATGGCACTAATGCAAAAATGATGGAGAAAAAACTGATTTATTTTGGCGTGTACTATCATCTCCTTAAAGGATGACAACTTATTTGGTGATACCCTGTATAGATGCTAGATTCTATTTAAATGTATTTTTTTATTATTACAAGAAAAAGCATTTATTTGAACCAACAATATTTATTACAATAATTAAAATTATACCTATTACAAAAAGTTTACGAAAACATTTTATTATAAATTCAAATTCAATATATTAAAAATTCAAAATAAAATTTTTAAAAAAGGACTGGGAGGTGTTAAAACTTCATCTAATGTTTTTTACAAAGAAAAAATTAAACTAATCTTAAATGTTTGTAGAGTTTTGGTATTTTTCATATTTATGCCGGTCAATATATAAAATTTAAATGTTAAATTTTCATTTAAATACAGTAAAAAAATTCAAAATATAAAAAAAATAAAAATTGCCAAAAATATTTTCTATGAAAAAAAACAAAAAATATTTAATACCATTTTAAATAAATTTATTTCCATTATTAAAAGATTTTAACCAATTTTTTAATTAAATCACTGCAACAATGCATGGTGCAATAACGTTGTAACCGCCAATATAAAAAAATTAATTATTGACTTTTTCTCTTGTTATTTTTATTGCGCATTTTGTAAACTTTTTAAATTTTATTAATAATTAATAAAATGTATTGCATTCAAATATGGCACACCGCATTTTAATAAATGCAAATGGCACAATAAAAACACAAACAAAAGAAGTTAATGCAATACAAAAACAATAAGTTTAGCATAAACAGAACCGGTTAACACAACGCAATAACAATAATAAGCACTGAAAAGTAATTTAAACCTTATGAACGCAAAAACAACAAGTTTTAACAGTTAACAACCAAAAACAACGCAAAACCAGATGTTTAGCACTAGATAAGTAAAATTTATTTTTTAACAAATCTTACCTTCATTTTATTTGGACTTCCCCTCTGAGCCCACACTTTCTGCAAATGGTCGACAACATACTTCTCGATCTGTTTCGGCTCCTGATTGGGCACTATCCTGATGGAGAATTTACCAATAACTTTCCTGGGAATCACCGTTTTCTGGCCGGGTTCGCTGAAAGCGCCCTCCACCTAAAATTACGTAAAACGATGTGTCATCAAAAAACTAACAAACCCTGAATTCTTACCCCGTGAATGGACAGGGACGGGAAGCGCCATCTGTGCATCAGTATTTTCTCTTTGTCTTCGTTGTGCATGAGTTTGGCGCAGCCCACGTCGGAACGGTACTCGTCGATGGAAAATTCGATTTTTTTGTAGATCTCCTTCTCGTGTTCCGTTACCTGGGCCACTTGGTTGTACAGTCCCGGAATGAGGATTTTTCCGTCTTTGTCGACAAGGTGGTTTAGTAGGTGCACGAGGTCCGACATGGCTTCATGACTAAGGAAAATAGTCAAATTTGAAATAATAATAATGATACAGGATGTCAAAGAGTTTGTTTTCGATTTTATTAAATAACTGTGTAAAAAAACGTTTAATATTCTTGGATTTTTCAGGACGGGAAAATTAAATTTCTTAAAAAAATTAATGTAGGTTGCGACAATTTGCATACGTTTTAATAGTCACATATTTTTTGCGCATGTGTGTATTCACGTTTTAATAAAAATATTACTGTTTTCATCTTTATAACGAAAATAATGCACCTACACCTTGTAAATGTCGCTCCAAGTTAACTGTTTTCGAGATGTCCGTTTAATAGTATATTCTGTATCAAGTTTGATAAACACCATTTTATACACGAATTTAATTTAGGCACGAGCGAGCTTGCGAGCGAGTGCTTAAATTAATAAGTGTATAGAAAAGTTTATAAACGAGGTGCATACTATACTTTTTCTACGACAAATTCTTATTATTATCTTAAAATGATTTAAATCAAAAATTTGTATAGAGCGCCATCTATGAAACAATAGGGGAATTTGTGTGTCACCGTCAAATGTCACATTTTTAAATTTTATAAACACAGATTATAAAGGTTATAAATCTAAATATATTTCTTAAAAATTGTCAGTTTTTCACAGTGAAAGTAAAGAAAATGTTTTATGAGGACTTTACAGTGGAGCCCGTGCCCGAATTTAAGTTATAGTTTACTGCCGGCGAAATTAAAAGGTCAGTACAATGTTCATATAAACTTTTCAAATATTGGCGTTAAGAAACTATTTAATACTTTTGTATTTTTGTATTGAGATAATAAAATAATTTTTACATTTAGTAATATTTTACAAGAAAGGAACTTTATTTTAACGATTGTATGACACTTGACAACTGTCAACTAACTTAAAACTAACTTTTTTTTAATATTTTTTATGAAAAAGTTCTTTATAAATCATTAAAATTATAGAATTATAAAAATTAAAAATCATAATTGGTACTAATTGTTTTAAGGAACGAAAAACCAATGAAAAATTAGAACCAAACAAAACAAATAACTTATAAATAAATAAATAGCTTATATTTAAACCGCTGACAAATATTTAATTGTTTTGAAATATTGCATTACAAATTGTAATTTGCAATTAATTAATAAATTCAAGAAGGTTTTAATTAATAATGATAAAATTTTAAAAAAAATTATCAAGATTTTTTATTTATGATAAGAATTAAAAGGCTATTAATGAACAAAACCTATAGGTACAGGGTGCACCAAGTGCAATGGATATTTTTTTGTATTTGAAGAGCTACAAGGTCGGTTTTGTTATAGACAATTTGTGTAATTACAAGCACAAGGACAAGCCTATTAAATTAAAAATTTATAAATTGAAGAAAAAGATTGTATAAAAAATCCTCGGAATAACGAAGTTCTAACGATTTTTGGTTTTGACAGGTTTTCAGTTTTTTTTAATTATTTGATTTTTTTGAATTTAATGTTTTAAAGTTCAATATTAAATAAAACGTTATTAATTTAGTTATCTATAATTCCCCATTTATTAAGTATCTTTAAATATTGGATTATTACTAAATAATAATCTAGAAGTAAATAAGTATACCTATTTGTTGTTTTTGTTTAAACAAAATGCAATGTTTTATCTTCAAACAATGATATAAACTATCAATTTATATGACTTGATCTTTAGCATTAATATTAAATCATAAACAAGGCTACTTAAATCTATGAAATGACTATAATAGTCAATTATAATTAATTGCATTTTATGTTTATAATATTAACACTCTATTGTAACTAGTTTTTTCCATTTGTGACAAACAAACAAAAATTACTTACACTGTTCCTCCAAAAACGCCGCTGTGCAAATCTTTTACTGAACATTCCACTTCAACGAAAAAATAACAAACACCTCTCAATCCGTAAGTGATGCAGGGTTTATTTTTTCCCAACCAATAATTGTCGGAAATGCAAACGTAATCGGTACCGGCCAAAAATTTGTTTTTTTCCTCCATTAATAGCTCGTCCAAACCCACACTTCCACTTTCTTCCATACCTAGAAGAAGTTTTGGAAAGATTGATTTTATATTTTTTCAAATACCTCTCTTCCTCGATTTTTTTCGTCAACAATTTTTGTAGAGAATAAAATCCTTCAAATTTTTTATCAATTAGACATCTATTAGACATCTATTAGACATCTATTAGACATCCATTAGACATTTATTATCAAAGACGTCGCAACTTTTCTACACACCTTCAAAGACGAATTTGATGTTGACTGGAACATCGTTTGCGGTCTTTTGGAAGGCTTCAACCGCATGAATCCAACACAAAACTGGTCCCTTGTCGTCTGAGGAACCTCTGCCAAACAATTTTCCATCTCTTTCAGTCAAAACGAACGGTTCAGAATCCCAACCGTCGCTCAATGCTGCAGGTTGCACATCCAAATGACCGTAAACCAAGACCTTAACAAGAATGAGTTGCGTTGACTCCATTTTACGTTATTTATGTTGCTTAGTTTATTTTTTTTACTCTGTAGGCTCTTTTATAACTTTTAATAATATGTAGTTCATGCAAATATTATAGGGACTACAACTCGGCGTTTTTTCAGATCACGTCATTTTTTTTTAAATGCGATCCAATAAAATGGTATCCACGGTATTCCGCACATAATATAACAGATTCGATAACAGCTAGACAGTTTTTATGAAAAATATACTGAATAAATGGACAACCATTTATTATTATTATTTATTTATTTTAAAATTATTTTAATTATATACAGGGTGTTGCACATTTTCGAAATACGGGTGTTTCACGTTCGTGGTCCATTGAGAGTTTCTGAGGAACGGCAAAAGATATCGATTTGAAATTTTTAAAGCGTTTATAATCCAATTAAGCCTATTTTTCTAAAATGTTTTAAACAAAATGCCACTTCCGGCTTGACCGGAAGTGACATCAACTTTGTTATTTTAAATGGAACACCCCATATATTTTTACATTTTTAAATTCTACATAAAATTTTGAGTAAAATTACTGTACCATGTCTTATACCTAGACTATTTCCCTCGTCTTTATTTCCACCAATCACAAACGCGCAATTTTGAATTACAAATGGTTTCTAGGTGAAAAAACTGTGTGACAGCACCTGTCAGCAGTTTATTCGAGTTTACCCGCGGCAAAACTTGACAGCTGTTGTCACCAAAAATTGCAATTTATATTTTAATTGTTAACTGTTACTCATGAAATAGTCTTGTCAAATACCATTCGGGCATCTAATTTTTCCTGTGAAAAAAATCGAAAAAACACAATGCTAAGTAATATTTTTTAACAAAATGCATTCGTGCAGGTGCAAAAATCCTCCTCTTCGACTCGGATTTTTGTTGCCACCAGCACTCATGCTTTTTGTTAAAATATTACTTAGCAACGTGTTTTTTCGATTCTTTTCGGAAAAATTAAATGCCCTTATGATATTACTTACGAGTAAATAGTTTTGGAGTTATTAATTTTTTCCGTTAAAATATGACAAATGCGCGTCAATCAAAAATAGCCTATAACTTTCTTGCTATTAGGTTTGCAGAAATAGGGGTGAAATTTTTGGAATCTTAAAACATTATTTAAAAGATTCCATGTCAATTTCTTAATATACCGGGTGTACATTTAAAATAAAAAAGTTATTAACGTTTCAAGTTAGCCCAATTTGCCCTGGGGTTTCTTGGGTAATTTGTTGAAAATGTTAAAGAATTGACATGGAATTTTTTAAACAATGTTTTAAGATTCCAAACATTTTACCCCCATATCCGTAAACCTAATAGCAAACATCTAGAAAACTATTCACTGGTGTAGTAATTTTACTCAGAATTTTATGTAGAATTTAAAAATGTAAAAATATATGGGGTGTGCTATTTGAAATAACAAAGTTGATGTCACGTCCGGTCAAACCGGAAGTTGCATTTTGTTCTAAATATTTAAAAAAATAGACTTAATGGATTATAAACGCTTTTAAATTTCAAATCTATATTTTTTCCGTTCTCCAGAAACTTCCAATGGCCAAGAATGTGAAACACCCTGTATATCAAGTGGTGGTTTTAGGTTGTGATACCACTATACAGGGTGTCCGGGAAAAGGAGGTCAATCCGTTAACCATATATTCCTTGAGTTAAAACAATAAGACTTTCATAATACCATTTTTCAATTTAGAGCTTCATGTTCGATATACAGGGCGACAAAGTTTGAAATTTAAAACTGATTTTTTTTAATAATTCGAGTAATTGATAAGATATTAAGTTTAAATTCGGTACACTACTTCAACATAAATAGTTACATTTTTTGAGACTAACAAAATAAAAAACAATTGTCAAATAATCAAAATAGGGGGGTCCAGTACTCACTGACTCCCCCTATTTTTTAGTACGTGCGCCAATGACTTCCAAACGGTATTTTTACAGGTAATCATTTATTGTGGAAAATATTTTGTCTCTTATAAAATTTTGATAAACTGATTTGTTTTAGAGATAATTTGTAAAGTATGGGTCAGTCCATATAATTCATATATAATTTTCGAAATTTATTTTTTTTTTGAAAAAATTTTAAGTCATGTGATATATCATAAAAAAGGTCTCTAATAGGCCTTTAAAATAAGCCATCACTCACCATTCTACTTTTAATAGTTTACGAGATATCGCTATTTTTGTAAGTACTTGCAAGATCCAAATTTATCGGAATTTTTTGATTTTCAAAAATCAATAAAACAAAAACCACCTATCGACAAAAATTCATATATGGGATTTTTGAGTTTTTTAGTGAGGTAAACAAATTTACCAAAAATTATCAAAATCGGAGATGGTGGGGGAAGAACCTTTGGTTGATTTGATATGGACTGACCCATAATTTACAAATTATTTCTAAAACAAATCATTTTATCAAAATTTTATAAGAGACAAAAAATTTTCCACAATAAATGATTACCTGAAAAAATACCGTTTGCAAGTCATTGGCGCACGTACTAAAAAATAGGGAGTCAGTGAGTACTAGACCCCCCTATTTTGATTATTTGACAATTGTTTTTTATTTTGTTAGTCTCAAAAAATGTAACTATTTATGTTGAAGTAGTGTACCGAATTTGAACTTAATATCTTATCAATTACTCGAATTATTAAAAAAAATCAGTTTTAAATTTCAAACTTTGTCGCCCTGTATATCTAACATGAAGCTCTAAATTGAAAAATGGTATTATGAAAGTCTTATTGTTTTAACTCAAGGAATATATGGTTAACGGATTGACCTCCTTTTCCCGGACACCCTGTAGATTCGAAAGCAATGTATAATCGTCAAACTAAAAGATCAAGATTTGTTTCCAACATATATTTAATATAAGATAAATACAAATCTGTTGTTTTATTAAAAAAAAATCAAAAATTAAAACCAGAAATATTTTTTTTTACTTAAAAAAATAAAATTGTTATTTTCTTTAAGTATAATTTTTGTATTATGTAAAAACATAAAATATTTTAAGAAAAAAAATGATTAATAACAAAATAGAAAATTAAAAATCTGTTTAGGTTAAAATAATAATAATTTACAACTTTATTTTTAAAATCTGTTAAAATTGTTCATGGAAGGAAAATCGTGTTGTACTGTGTAATTTATGATATAAATAAAGTTTTTCTAGTTCTAATATATTGGATTTTATAGTTCTATTAAATTGGAATACATTTTTTACTTATTTGGGCAATTTGAAATAAGGTTTTTTTAAATTATATACATGATCACATAAACAAGCTTTGTTAAAACCATTAAACCAGGAACCATAACAATTTAAACTACTATGAATAAATTGCTGAGTAATTATATTGTTAACAACAAAACTGTTGCAATTATCCACTTACAGTTTTCTTTTTAGGGTCATTTCCCAGCTGTCCAAAAAGAACAGGTGGCAATTCAAGGGAAGTACCATCATGTAATGTTTGCATGCCCAACTCCTTCAGCTCAGTGGTAGCCCCAATTTTTTGTAAACGGGCTGCACCCCATTCCATCATTTTGCGACACTCGCCTCTTTTTTCTGACCATGCTGACACAGACTGGATTGCTACTACATCCTTAAGTGTATCAATGTATGATTTTTTGTTTTCATCAATGTGTCTGAAATTTAATGATTTACGCCCCTAAATTAACGTTTAATTACCCAATTACTTATTAAGATAACTTCACAACAATTGTTTTTCATTTTTTTGTTTTTTAATGCTAGATTTTCATAAAACTTTAAATTTAAAGGTAAAGGTAAAGACTGTGTTACAAAAGAAAATATTCACAAGGATGCTCATTATCTGAAATGTAATAATTTTTTAACTTCAATTAAATATTATTCAAAATTAGATGGGTGCTTTAATTTCCGACATATGTCAGACGAATCTAACCTCACTTTCACCCAATTTTAAAGATTGATCCAAATACCTGGGGCGACTATGATCATTTTGGACCAAGCTAATTTGCAAATACCCGATTGGTCCAAATCACAATAAATAATAAAATTAGCCAATAATTGACCCCTAATCCGTGAATAATGAGTTCATTATTCACGGGCAGTTATAATGGTTACAATTATAAAAAGAAAAAATCCTAATGTCAATATTTCATTTATCCAATAGAAGTAAAAAATAAATAGTTATGTATTATAAATATATGTACTTTTAAGCCTTTTTTAGAGTATCTAGAATTTTGCAACATTCTTCAATATCTCAAAGACAATAAAATACCAGTTAAGGCGATGATATGGCTTTTAATTCCTATCATATGACATGGATTAATTAAATAATTAAAACTCACTTGAACAATTTAACCAATGGTTCAGGTAATCCCATCTTTGCAACAACTTAAAAAAAATGTTTAGCAGTAAAAACACTTAAATCAAACACGAACCACAACGACTGGAAAAAACTGAATAAAATACGGTTTTTTATACAATTGAGGTTACGTGCCCCCAGTGACAGTGACAGAAAAACAATGGAAGGGAATAATCGTCTAAAGGTCGCTACACAAGCGACACACATAAAAGTATATCACAATCAGATAAAAACTAAAGTGATTTCGTCCAAAGGTGACGCTTCTCTCATATATCTAATAATTTAATATAATAAATATAATATAATTAATCTATTGTTTGTTTTTAAAGTGGGAATCGTTTTCACAAAAAATGCGATCGTTGTTTGTTGTGAACGTAACTTAAAATTTGACAGATGTCAAGAATTGTTGACGTGTAATTTCAGTTTGAAACACCGGTTTTTTTAATTAATAAGCGATTTTCGAAATTCAAAAAATGGCTCCGAGTAAAATTAATATAAAAGATCGTTTTACCGATGGTGAAATTGATTTAAGTATGTCGGATATTGAGGAAGTTCCTGTTAAAGATATTGTAGGTTTTTTAATCATAAAAATATGTTTTCTGATGAATTATGTTATATTTGTTACAGGCCTCATTAAAAAATGCCTATTCTTTGGATATATCGAATAATAGAATCCAATCTTTACCTGTAAGTATTTTAAAAAACACAATTCTTTAATACTTAAACAAATTAAATTTAGGCTAATTTTTCTTCATTGGTGAACATAATTAAGCTGGATTTAAGTAAAAACGAGCTTAAAGAGCTGCCTGACAATTTTGGTAACCTCGTAAAACTACGTCATTTAGACTTGTACCAAAACCAAATTCAACACTTGCCATTGAGTTTTTGCAATCTAAAGGATTTAAAATGGTTGGACTTAAAGGATAACCCCTTAGTCCCAACTGTAGCGAAAATTGCTGGCCCCTGTTTGGATACAAAGCAATGCCAAAAATGTGCCAAAGATGTGGTCAACTTTTTTGTTAAGCTACAAGAACAAGTTAAAAACGAGCTTGAAGCAAGAAATCAGCAGAGGAAAAAACAGCTGGAAATCAACAACATAAAGAAACAGGAGGAGAAAAAAAACAAGAAAAAGGAGAAGAAAAGTAAACAGCAGAATAAAAATGAAGACATTCCCCTGATAAAAAATAAAAACCATAAGACTGCCGTAGAAGTTAAGGGTAATAATGTTAAGAACATTAAAACTAAACCGTCATTCCTAAAAACTTTGTTTTTTACGTTCCTTATAAGCACTTCCATATTATTTGTGCTAACTTCAATAAAACTAAAACAAACAGAGAAATTTGAAATTGCTGTCCGTACTTTATATGAACGGTTTGTTTTGGTTGCGCCCGAAAATTTACTGCCATATTGTAAAGACTTAGCAAAAAGTGTTGGGTATATGCATGAAAAAACTGGGAACATTACTATAGAAGTTATAAAAACTATACAGGACCAAACTTGGTGTTGTTTATTTAAGGATTTTGTAGCAAGTTTAAGTGAAAAAATACATGAGTTTTATAAAAGTTTAATAAAGTAAATTTATGTTTACAAGTACATTGGCCTATTTTATTAAAATATCCCTGGAAAAAGTGTACAGCATCAAAAAGCAGTTTCATTATTAAGTCTAGGATTAAGTTTATCTATTGGATTGCTCTAGGGTTTTAAGTATTCACCTTGAGGCCATTAATATTATTTATATACCTAATTAATAGGTAGTAAAAAAAATATTAAAATATATAAAAAAATAAAGTTAAGAAAAAGAAAGAACAAACAGCAGTATTTCTTCATAAGCATATAAATATAACAAAACAAATGTAATTAAAAAACCTACTAAAAATACAAAAATTAAAAAACAAAAATTAAAAAACTGATTTCTTTCTTGTATATTTTCAAAAGTTTCAACTTTGTGTTTTAAGTTAATTATTTCTTTATTAACATAAAAGTAAGTAAAGTAATTTGGTTCCTTAGTATGTTCTTCCAAAGCTTCCGTTTTTGATGATAAGTTTCTAAAGCAACGGCCCAAATGTTGCAATTTACTTAATAATTGTATATTAACATAAGACTTTAATTCTTGAATTTCACTTCTTAAATCATCTACATTTGCTTCTAAATATTTTACATTATTAACAGTTGTCCCATTATGTAATTTTGATTTTTCAAGTAAATTTTCTACCATTGTTTGAAGATGCATTAAATACTTGTTGTTCTGTTCTTTTATTTCCTCATTTAATAATTTTTGTTTCAATAAATCCTCCTCTAGTTGACGTAATTTTTTATCTTGTTCACAAACCAGACTAGGATTATGTCCAGGGCATTTTTCACAAACCCACTTTTCATCCATAAGTCCCTCTTTAAATTTCATAAAATGATCATTGCTTAATCCACTGCAATTTTTATGGTAAATCTTGAAACATTCCCCATAACATCTGATAACATATTGCCTTTTTGATATCCCATTCTCGCATTTTGCACATGTCTTTTTATCTGGCATTTTATCACTACATTTTATATTTATAGTTTTTAATTTTTTAATAGACTTCTGCTGGATCTTCTCCATCAACTCTAATATTAACCAGCTACAATTGTTTTTATTTATTTATTGTGTTATCTATGATTGTGTCTTCTTTATGTCAGCAAGAAACTGCAGTTTCTTTTATTATGTTGTTTCTTTAGTTATCAAGTATTTCTTTTGATAGAATATAATTCACATAAACATGTGATAGAAATATGACCATTACAAATATGACCATATAACAAATATGACAGTACCACAACAAGTTTAATAACATGTTATCATTGATTTACTCTCAGAACTTTTCAAGATTACTCACAAATTTCTCACAACTTCAAAATGACAATACTGAGGTTGATTTTTTTTATAAATATTTAAAATGGTATAAATAAAAATTGTATATTTGATAATAACTGGTGGCGTCACTGATGACTGATGCCGCTTTTGCTTCTTAAACTCACGAGCGTCTAGCCGTCACACCTAGAGGAGGAAATCTGATTAAAACGATGCTGCCCTCTATGGAGCCATTCGCGTATTTCTCAACAGTAAAAGATTCTAGCAGGATCCTGTACACTAAAACCGTTTTAGTAAAACGTCATAAATTGTCGTAGGTCAGGCACAGATTATAAAGGTTAGGTCAGGTAAAAACATGTCGAAATAATGCCTCCAGAAAGTTTTTTATGTGATATGTGTGCAAAGACTTTTACTAAAAAGTTTAATTTATTAAGACATTTTAAATTTATTCATAGTGCTCAAGAAAATCAAAATCAGGGTAGATTTACTTGCTGCCATTGTAATAAGGAGTTTAACAAAAAATTCAATCTAGTTCGACATATAGAACAAGTTCACCGTTCTCAGCCCAAAGAAGTAATAATTTACAATTGTCCAATGTGTACTTTTAGTGGACCCAAAGTTAGAATTGTCAGTCATTACAACATTGTTCATGAAATAAATATTTCTACGAGATTAACTAGTTTCTTAACGGTGGCAGATTTTGAGAAGTGGAAAGATGAATTAGAAACAGAAGCCTGTTCAAAACACATAAAGCACAGAGTAAAAGAATCCCAGTATAAAATACAATATTTCTATCGCTGCCATCGTGATGGATTTTATAAACCAGAGGGAAAAAATATACGCGCCCTCAAAATCATGGGAACCAATAAAATTAATGGACACTGCCCTGCCAAAATTATAGCAACAGTTTGCAAAAATACCGAAAAAGTCTCTGTTCAGTATTGCAATAGTCATGTTGGGCACAAACTGGAAATAGGCCGACTAACCTTATCTAAACTGGAGCGACAACAAATTGCTCAAGAAATTGCTAAAAAAATTCCTTTTAAAGAAATTTTAAATAAAATAAGGAACTCTATTTCTAATTATGATATCTCAAGGCTACACTTATTGACAAGAAAAGATTTACTTAACATAGAAAGCATGTACAATCTTAATAATGATGCCATACGTGACGCAAATGATTATACTAGTGTTGATGCATGGGTGAAAGAAACCCAGGAACATAGTGGAGATTCTATAGTCAGATTGTATAAGAAACAAGGAGTTTTTGATGACAACTTTCCTACTCTGCAAAAAGATGATTTTCTGTTGATGATTATGAACGTGTCTCAGATTGAAATGCTCCAGATGTATGGAGGTGATTGCATTTGTATTGATAGTACCCACGGAATGAACCCCTATGACTTTCAATTAAGTACTTTACTAGTTCTTGATGACTTAAGACAAGGATTTCCATGCACATTCATATTTAGCAATAGAACCGATGAAACATTATTCAAAATCGTGTTTGATGCTATTGCGCATGCTTTGGAACACCCCTTGCACACAAAAGTTTTTATGTCGGATTTAGCGCAATCTTTCTATAATGCTTGGAAATTATCAATGGGCCCAGTTGAAACTAGAATTTTTTGCTCTTGGCATGTGGACAAGGCTTGGAGGAAAAATATTAATGAGAAAATTGCTAATTTAGAAGATAGAGTTGAAATATACAAGGTGGTGAGAACTTTACTGGAAGAAACAGACCAAGTTGCCTTTGAAAAATTATTATTTAAAGCTGTTAAAACCATGCTAAGGAATCCAAACACATACGAATTTGGAAAATACTTTGAAAATTACTATTGTGCTAATAAGATGTCATGGGCATACTGCTACAGATTATATTCAGGTATAAACACCAATATGCACCTAGAAAGTATGCATAAAGTGTTAAAATATATTTATCTTGAAGGAAGAAAAGTAAAAAGACTGGATAAAGCTGTGCATGCTATTCTAAATTTTATTCGCGATAAGTTATTCGACAGGCTTATAACTTTAAACAGAGGTGAGTTGATTTTATGTATTAATGTGGGTATATATTGTGCAATTTTTAGGAAAATTGACAAAAAAAATCTCTGAATTACGAAAAAGACATAAAAGAGCAACTGAAGTCAAAGATCAATGCATAATAATGGAAGATAATGGAACATGGACTGTATCATCTGCTTCTGGTGCAGACATATACCAAATAAAACCATCTACTACTAATTTTATATGCAACTGCAACATAAAATGTACCCAATGTGCTATTTGTATCCATTCTTATCGTTGTTCTTGTCCAGACTCTTCAATTTCGTGGAATATGTGTAAACATGTTCATTTATTGGGGATGTTTCTCAAAGGACAACTTAGTACAATTGAAGAAAGAGAAGATATTGGTGACATGGTAATTGATTGTGATCCCAGAACAGTGGAGGAAAATATTATATTGAAGTAAGTGAAACATTTTTTGATTGAAACTATACATTACAATTACTGTTTTTAAGGTCCCTCAAAAATCCTTTGTCGAATGAATCTCATGACTTAAATAATAATGTGGATGCAGCAAAATCTAACACAATAAGACTATTTAATGAAATTATGTCTATGGTTACAACTGTTGAAGAAAATAAGTTCGTGGAAAAGGCTTTGTTGCCACTGCCCCATGTTTTATCTAGCAAATCTTATGGCAGCAATGTTTTTATAAATACTGACTTTTGTCAAAGAGAACCTTCAAATAAACATATTGAACCCCAAAGAGGAAAAAAACGAAAAAATGCTTTAGGAAATACAAATCAGTTAAGTGAAGATTCAGAAAGGGTGCCGGAAAAGGAGAATGAGCCTAAAAAGAAATTCATCTCAACCAAAAACAAAAAATCTACAAAAAAATTAAGTTTGAAAAAACCATCGAAGAGTGAAAAAAATAATATTTCAATAAGTTTATTTCATAATGCTGATGCCAAATAATAATTTATTTGATTTTCCTTTTATGTAGGTATAATTAGTTTGTGATACAAAACCAAATGTTTTATTTTATAATGCTGATGCTAAATAATAATTTATTTGATTTTTCTTTTTATGTTTAGTGCAATAATTATTAGTATGTGATGCAAACCCAAATGATTTATTTTTTATGTTTAGTTCAATAATTATTATAATAACTATAGTTTTTGATGCAAAACCAAATGATTTAATTTTTCTTTAATTTAACTGAAATAATTAAAAATTTATTTACACATAAGATAAAACTCTTTACCTGTACTTACCTACCTATACTTTAATAAAAATTCGTTTAAACATTATTATTTATTTATTAAAGAACATGATCCTTTTTCAAAATTATAGATCTTTTTATCTTAAACTACACTGAAAAAAATTTACGAAATTTTACACATCCAAACACACATTTATTTCTGTTTTTTTACTTAAGAAATTTGTTGTTCCATATAAAACATGTACACACATACTTACATAAGTAAAATAGCATCAATTTATGTATTTTTTTAAATTAATATGTAGTTTTTCATATTATTATGTAATAAATCCTTAAATGTATGTGCTTTTACAATTTTTAATGTACTTGTACTATTATTTTCCTAAATTTTAGATTTACATGATCTTTGCATTTTTACACATGTAGTTTTACAGTATGTTTGTACATATACATTTAAATACGTGGCATCAAAATAACCAACGATCAGATGTGTAAATTTACTAAATATTTTTTTGAGTGTAACTTAAAAGTAATTGTCATATTTATACATTATTATGTAGATTCTTACCTAAACTGAATTACCAATTTAAAAAATATACCCAAAGATAATATATTATCTTTGAATATACCTACTTACAATAAATACCTACTTGATAGGTATAATAAAACAAAAACAATGTGTATATAAACTTATTTTAAATTTTTACATAAACCGAATCAAACGAAACAGTTACAATTCCAAATAAATGCCTTCTTGTGTCAACAATATTTTGTGTATTATTATACATATAGATAATGCTGCATTATTTATGCACATATAATTTGTGGAAAAGTCGTAGTTCACATTGCATTTTAAAAAATGATTAATTAACCCGGTTTTTAAAATCTGTACGTAAAAATGTATTCTATTTAAGTAAATATGTCATTACCTAAATACCTTGTGCATTATTTTGTAAAATAGCATAATTTAAGAAAATATCATACAATTATATTCAATGGGAATTCTTGGATGGTAAGGTTATAAACGTAACTTTGTACTTAATTTTTAAATTCTTCGTATTTCCTTATAGTTGGTAACATCACTGCAGTGCACATGATCATTTATTTTTTCCCGCGTACTTTTAAAAGTTCGACTTCAATCGTAAATATTCGTTTTACTTCGTTTTGATATTTTCCTCCTCTAGGTGTGACGGCTAGACGCTCGTCTTAAACTCTCACAGCGCCACCTAAGCGATAATAAATGCGCCAAATTTAAAAAAATATCACATTTGTGAAAAAACGCTACATTTAAGCGCCAGCGCGAAATTTCCAAATTTAGCGCTACACCTGCAACTCTTTAAAACAGTATTTTTTTTAGTGGGTAAAAACTTGATACAAAATGAAACTCTATGGATCTCTGTAGACAGGTTAAAAAAACACATAGACCTAGATAAAAATGCTTTTTTAATAATAATCAAAGTGGAAGGTATATTAAAATGTTTCTGGAACATTAAAGTTTCAAAAAAATTTACCTTATTAGAAATATAAATAAATAATAATTTCTGTATACAGACGGAGGTACAGAAATTAAAAGTTGATCCTCGATTACTCTCATTTTACTCACAATTGCACATTACTCACAACATTACTCACAAACCATAAAAATACTCACAAATGTGAGTAATTACTTACAAATTGGCAGCCCTGGTTATCACAACCACTTTAATAAATAAAAAATACTACCTGCCAATAAAACAGAAACCTGTAAATAACCGTTAAAAATGGCAAGAAGAAGAAGACTAACCTTTATGTTCGAAATTTTGCGCGTTAAAATCACATAAACGGTTTCAGCCCACATTTTATATTAATTTTAAAATAACATCATGGATTCAATTACAACGGCTCTGGAAAGCGCCCGCGTTTCTTTGAACGGACTATCGTTTGCAGGAAAATCGTTAAAATTAAATAATGAAGAAGATGGTAAGTACAGCCTTGTTTATGTTTTTTAGTGCCGGAATTTTTGAGAAATTTAATTTTAATTTTCAATATTATTTTAATCTTAAATTTTAGCCAAGGAAATAATTGAGAAAATTGAAAAGTGTAAAGAATTGCAGTATTTAAATCTTGAGGGAAATACGCTGGGCGTAGATGCATCAAAAGGCATTGCAAAAGCGTTGGAAAAGCACCCAGAGTTTAAACGGGCATTATGGAAGGATTTGTTCACTGGTAGAATGAAGGAGGAGATTCCCAAGGCGCTGGAATTTTTGGGGAGTGGCTTAGTCACTGCAGGAGCCAAGTTAACCGAACTAGACCTCAGCGATAACGCCTTTGGCCCTATTGGAGTAAGAGGTCTGGCATTCTTGCTAAGAAGCTCATCGTGTTATGCTTTGGAAGAATTAAGGCTAAACAACAATGGATTGGGAATTACAGGGGGGAAATTATTAGCCGAAGCCTTGACTGACTGTTATGATTGCAGTAAAAAACAAGGAAAACCATTGGCTTTGAAGGTTTTCATTGCTGGGAGAAATAGATTGGAAAATGAGGGTGCCAAAGCTTTGGCACAAGTTTTTAAGGTGAGTTATGCAAGTTTTTATAAAAAAAAATGTTTCAAAACTGTCTAAAATGTTCTTAAATTATCTTAGACAGTTTTAAACTGTCTTAAAAATAACTTTCTTTAAAAATGTTCTAAAAGTTTCCAAAATATTTTTTCCAATTTCACCTTTTAAATACACATTGATAAGCTGTAGCTTTATGGTGCTTTAGTCATGGGCTAAAGTTAGCAACAGGTTTTTAGTAACAGGCTGAAGTTAGTTTTAAGTTAGTTGACAGTTGTCAAATGTCATAAAATCGTTAAAATTAAGTGCCTTGTAAAATAATACTAAATGTAAAAATTATTTTATTATCTTGATAAAAAAATACAAAAATTTTAAATAGTTTCTTGACGCCGATTTTTGAAAAGATGAATGTTTGTACTGACCTTTTGATTTTGCCATAGTAGTACAGTTAACAAGAGTTATCTATTAAAGAGTTTTGAGTACAGTGCCCATTAAACATTCTCTTCTCTTTTACTGTGAAAAGTGCTTCAATATCGATTTTTAGATTTAGATTTTCAAGGGATAAAGTTAGAAATTTTAACAGAAATTCTAATAAATACAACTGTCTTTTTGTACCTTTAAGATTTCCTGTGTAAGAATTTGTAATACTTTGTAATAGTATATATGCAATTATGGTAACAACAAAAATCAAAGGATAACATATTTTCTTAACATAATCATATTTTAAAGTTATTTTAATATTTTAAAGTATTAATAATTGTTAAATTTAATTAAAATAATAACAGGCAATGTTAATAGTGAAAATTACGTCAAATATGTTTATTAAGAAGGTTACTTTATTGTTCTATAGATGTCCCTTTCTACAAATATTTAATTTAAATCATTTTTTAGATAATATTAAGTATTTGTCGTAAAAAAAGTATACGAGCCCTAACCACATAATGTTCGGACACTTCATAATTTATACAGAATTTTTTTTCGTGAATACTATCTCAAAATTATTAGAAGTTATGAAAAATTTAGCTTATTTTGGCATATACCCCTCGAAGCGATTTTTATTTTTAAAAAGCTTACCTTTTATTTTTAGCTTTTAAAAAAAGGCTAACTTTTTAACTTTTTTTTGCATGAGTAAAAAAAGTTATAAATGGGCCCATTAAAAAGAGCATAAAATATTATACAAACCCTGAAAATTTGGTAAAAAATAAATAAGTTATAAAAAAGTATAAGTAATTTAAAAATGCTATTTTTAAAGAGTTTTTGCAATTTTCTTAGGAAACGGGAGATTTTGCAGATATATATATCGCTATAACTTTCTTATTATTTATACAATTTTTACCAAATTTTCAGGGTTTGTATAATATTTTATGTTCTTTTTAATGGGCCCATTTATAACTTTTTTTACTCATGCAAAAAAAAGTTAAAAAGTTAGCCTTTTTTTAAAAGCTAAAAATAAAAGGTAAACTTTTTAAAAATAAAAATCGCTTCGAGGGTATATGCCAAAATAAGCTGAATTTTTCATAACTTCTAATAATTTTGAGATAGTATTCACGAAAAAAATTTCTGTATAAATTATGAAGTGTCCGAACATTATGTGGTTAGGGCTCGTAGTATGCAACTAGTTTATAAACTTTTCTAGGCACTAATTTAATTTAATTAAATTCTTGGCCAAAATGGCGTTTATCAAACTTGATACATATTATTACAAACCCTTTAAACTGCGAAACAAAACTGTCAAAAAGCCATTTTAGAATTAATTGACTTAAAAACAAACAAAATAAAAAAAAATTAAACAAATTAAAATAAGTAAATTGGCTTTAAAATGCTTTAGGAGTTTCTAAACCAGGGTTTGACCGATATATATCGATATTTATAAGCAATGATATATATCATTGAAATTTATAAAACTGTTAACTGTTAACAGCTTTTTTTCAAAGGTGATCTATCTATTATAACATTTTAAAAAAGTATATAATTTTCTTAATAGATGGCGCTACTACTGCCTTCAATTTAGAGTCTATTTCCATTCTACGAATTTAATAAATATTTGTAGATTTTATTAAATATAAAATTTATAATGATAAGTTTATAATTTAAAAATGTGATTTTTTTAAATTTAAAATTTTTATATACTTAATCTATGGTAGGGCTGTGTTATAATTGCAGTGATAAAAGTAATAAAAATAAAATGCCCAAGAAAAAAGATTTGATGATGAACCTTTAATTAATATTTTTTGAAATTAAAATTTAATGTTATTTTTTTTGTTTAGATTTTTTTTTTTAATAAGTGTTTTGTTTACTTTTTTTAATAAATTTATTAAAAACATTTTTATTTTGTCTAATATAATTAATTTTTGACCAAAACCTTAAAAGAAATAATTAAAAAAATAAATATCAAGATGTTGATATATATCGAATATATATCCGATATTTTTATATTTATATAAATATCATGATATTTTCGAACCCTGTTTTAAACTGTCTAAAGTCGTATTAAACTGTCTTAAATATTCTAGAATTGCTTTCCTGTGTAAGAATTTGTAATACTTTGTAATAGTATATATGCAATTATGGTAACAACAAAAATCAAAGGATAACATATTTTCTTAACATAAACATATTTTAAAGTTATTTTAATATTTTAAAGTATCAATAATTGTTAAATTTAATTAAAATAATAACAGGCAATGTTAATAGTGAAAATTACGTCAAATATGTTTATTAAGAAGGTTACTTTATTGTTCTATTGTTTAAATCATTTTTTTAGATAATATTAAGTATTTGTCGTAAAAAAAGTATAGTATGCAACTAGTTTATAAACTTTTCTAGGCACTAATTTAATTTAATTAAATTCTTGGCCAAAATGGCGTTTATCAAACTTGATACATATTATTACAAACCCTTTAAACTGCGAAACAAAACTGTCAAAAAGCCATTTTAGAATTAATTGACTTAAAAACAAACAAAATAAAAAAAATTAAACAAATTAAAATAAGTAAATTGTCTTTAAAATGCTTTAGGAGTTTCTAAACCAGGGTTTGACCGATATATATCGATATTTATAAGCAATGATATATATCATTGAAATTTATAAAACTGTTAACTGTTAACAGCTTTTTTTCAAAGGTGATCTATCTATTATAACATTTTAAAAAAGTATATAATTTTCTTAATAGATGGCGCTACTACTGCCTTCAATTTAGAGTCTATTTCCATTCTACGAATTTAATAAATATTTGTAGATTTTATTAAATATAAAATTTATAATGATAAGTTTATAATTTAAAAATGTGATTTTTTTAAATTTAAAATTTTTATATACTTAATCTATGGTAGGGCTGTGTTATAATTGCAGTGATAAAAGTAATAAAAATAAAATGCCCAAGAAAAAAGATTTGATGATGAACCTTTAATTAATATTTTTTGAAATTAAAATTTAATGTTATTTTTTTTGTTTAGAATTTTTTTTTTAATAAGTGTTTTGTTTACTTTTTTTAATAAATTTATTAAAAACATTTTTATTCTGTCTAATATAATTAATTTTTGACCAAAACCTTAAAAGAAATAATTAAAAAAATAAATATCAAGATGTTGATATATATCGGATATATATCCGATATTTTTATATTTATATAAATATCATGATATTTTCGAACCCTGTTTTAAACTGTCTAAAGTCGTATTAAACTGTCTTAAATATTCTAGAATTGCTTAAATGGCTGTTTTAAACTGTCTTCTTAAACTGTTTCAAATGTCGTGTAATATTTTTTATTTACCTGTAAATGTCCTAAAACTGCCCAAAAAGCCGTTTTCAACCCTTAGATCTTAGTGTCTTTAAAATTGTCTTAAAACAGTCTTTTATCTTTTAAAATTGTCATTAAATGTATACTAGTATACTAAAGTTGTCTAAAATGTTCCAAACCCTCTAGAAATGCCCTAAAATTAATTTAAAACCGCCTAAAATGAAACTGTAAAAAATATCCATCCTATAACAGTTGTTGATCACGTGATAAAACATTTTCAGTTGATTGGTACCCTAGAGGAAGTGGCAATGCCGCAAAACGGCATTTACCACGTGGGCATTTCGGCTCTATTCGACGCTTTCACGCACAATCCCAACCTGGAAATCCTAAACCTAAACGACAACACAATAACGCACAAAGGGGCAGAGGCTGTGGCAAAGGCGCTGCCCGCTTTGCAAAACCTGAAAATCATCAATTTCGGCGACTGCTTGCTCAAAACCAAAGGCGCGAACCATCTGGCGAAAGCTTTGGAGAAAGCTCACGTCAACTTGGAAGAGCTGATCCTGGAATCCAATGAAATCGGCAAAGAGGGCGGGCTTGCCGTGTGCGATTCTATTGCCAATAAAGTCAAAATTAAAAGTTTGGTTTTGGACGGTAATCAGTTTGGAGAACAGGGTCTTGTCGAGATTAACAAAAAACTAAAAGAAGTTGGTAAGTCTGTTTACTGTTTTTTTCTTCAAATTAAAATTTTAAACCGAGTTTTGAACGGTTTTTTAATTATGTAATTAATGTAATATATTAAAGCAGCACTTGAAACTTTTTTTCTTCTAAATTCTAAAGACTAAAAATAATTTATAATAATCTTTATCCTACCAAAAAGTACGCCACTGATCGACTAGGAACTTTAGGGTAATCTGGTTGCCTAATTAAATTTATTATGTTATGGTTGGTAACAACCAGCGTTTCCAGATTCTGTCAAAAAAGTTGCCAAATTTTGGTTTAAATTTAGCTTAATTACAAAAATGAAAATATCAACAACGCAAATTGTTAATTTGCTGTTTTTATTAATTGCTTATTATGTCATTTTAAAACGTCCTAAAACTGTTTTTTTAATTTTCTTTAAAAATTAGATACTTTAAACTATTAAATCTTTTAAGACTGTTTAAAATCTAAAAGACTTCTAAATCTGTCTAAAATGTTCCTAGTACTTATATAAAAATGTCCTAAAATTGTCTTTAAACTTTCTAGAAATGTTCCAAAACTGTATAAAATGTTCCTCAACTATCAGAAATCTACCTTAATGTCCTAAGGGGCTATAATATTTTCTCTATAACTATAACCCTAAAAAGCTGCTCAAAACACTTTAATTAAAATAATAACAGGCAATGTTAATGGTGAAAATTACGTCAAAAATGTTTACTTTATTTTCGTATAGATAAGGCTTTATAAAAATATTTAATTTAAATCATTTTTTAGATAATATTAAGTATTTGTCGTTGAAAAAGTATAGTATGCAACTTGTTTATAAACTTTTCTAGGCACTGATTTAATTAAATTCGTGACTAAAATGACGTTTATCAAACTTGATACAATAATATACTATTAAAAGCCGTTCCAAACAGCCTAAAAACATTTTAAAATGTTCTAATAAGATTGGATATTGTTCTAAAATGTTACAAAAAAACCTCTAAAAATTTCCTAATATTTTCTATAACAATCTTTAAAATGTCTAAAATTTTATAAAACTCACTGAAAATGATCTTTAAGAAGAAGAAGGAAGTTTTAAATTAAATTGATTAAATTTAAACTTCCTAAAATGTTTTAAAACTAAATATTTTATAATAGGACATAGACATTTAAATGTCTTAATTTTACTTTTAAATTAAGCAAAAAATATGTTAAAACCTCGTAAAAATTACACCTATACCTAGAATATGCATAGAACTATTCTAGAGTCTAGTGGAGCAGCTCCACATAAAAAGTCCCACTTTGACATTTGAATAAGGAATGCAGTCAAATAATTGAGGTTTTCTATCAGTCAGTTAAACGCTATTTTCGTCTTATTTTCTGAAAATAATACAATATACAGTATGTCCACGAATGGGTTACAAAGAAGGAAATAGTTTTTTGTTTGTTTTACAAGTGTTTAAGTTACTCACGAGGCCGTCAGGCCGAGTGTGCATTAACACGAGCTTGAAGAAAGCTTTTCTCACAAGTGAAACACAATGTTTTTTCTACGACCCTTTTATTTTTTATTATTTTCAAATACAAAAAAAAATAACCTAAAAAGTGTTTGACAGACCTGTCACTTTTCACACAGACCTGACCTGTCACTTTTCACACAGACCTGACACTTTTCGCACAGAAATGTCACTTTCCATTCGTGTTTTGCCTTGCCAATGAAAAGATTCATTTTCTAAGCAAAGATGCCATTACGAAATGTGACTTTTACATAGTGGTCATAGAAAAAATATTTTACATTTCTGATCCAAAATTTTTAGAAAAATGGTTATAAATTAAGAAATTTATACACAAAGGCTACCTACTTATATCGTATTAATTTCAGAAAATAAGACGTTTTTAGCGTTGATAGATAACCTCAATTATTTGTATTTAAATATTAGGTTTTGACATTTGGGTGTGGCGCATAGAGAAAAGGTGTTGAGTCTAAAAAAAGTCGAATTACCAACAACATAAGTGTTTTCCTATTTATCAGGAAAATTCCACGTTGCCAGTATCAACGATAACGAAGATAGCGACGAGGAGGAGGAAGAAGAAGAGGGAGAGAGCGATGAAGAAGAGGAAGAAAGCGACGCAAGCACCACGGAGGAAACGATCGACTTGTCGGTGTCGATTAAATCGCTATCGAATAAATCGACTGTCGAGCAGTTTCAAATTAACCCTTCCGAGGCGAATTTCATGGGTTTGGGCGACGGCAGATCGGATTTGCTGCTGAATTCCGTCAAGGTAGGTCAAACGTACCAAATTTGACAGATGCGGTGGTAATATGAAACCCCTGTGTAATAATATTACAACTTCTCTTCATTTCATTTTTCTTAATTTTAAAAGTAACTTTTTAGAAATTGGAAAATGTTGAGTTGGAATCTTTTGTGCCGATGTTGATGAGAATATCGGCGTTAAGTACGAGCGCGAGACCGGAAGTGGCCGAAGCTGCTTTTAAATGCACCGAACAATTTTATAAGGAACTTTTCGTTTGGGCACAAAAATACGATAACATTTCCATTGTCAACAACTCGTTGCTCGTAAATTTGGGATTGATAAAGGTAAGTGCAAGATATTATGTGAACAGAATTTCAAAAAAAAGTAAATAATTAATAATAAATAAGCTATAAATACAAATTTAGATAAAACATTTGTATTAGGACCACTCCTAATTCAAAGGGCCACTGTATGAATTATTATTTTATTCGTATTAATTATTATACGTTCGCTGTAGGGGCCTATATTCCTAATCGTAGGCTACGCTCGACCGTCATTAATGATAATAATAATATGCTCTTTATAAAATAAAATAATTTTAAAAATGTAAATTTCTGGTAAAGTTATCAATTTGTTATTAATTAATGTGGACCTGCGCGATTTATTGTAATTTAATTAAACATATCTTTTGAAAAATATATAAATTACATATATACACTGCCCGTCAAAATTAACGCAAAATAAGTAACAAAATTCTAACTCTAAAACGCCTTTACTAATCTTTATGAAAGTTTGAATAAAAATACCTCAACTTATATCTCAGTTTACATGTTCAAGGGTTTTTCGAAAAAATATCCTTAAAGCCCTTTTATTTAATAATAAAAATCGCTCGAAAAAAACCTTTTATAGGGAATTTTTTTTAGTAAATAATAAGTATTTTGTGAAAGACCCTATTTTTGTAAGTATACCGTGAAAATGTTGTAAAAATCAAACGAACAGTAACGAAAATATAGCGCTTCAAAGTCGTCAAAAATGACCATTTTTCAGCAATATAATCAAAAAGGGATCATTTTTACCGACTTTGAAGCGCTGTATCTTCGTTACTGTTCGTTTGATTTGTACAAAATTTTTAGGGTATACTTTAACAGCATATTTTTTATTTAGTTAAAATAAAATTCTCTAAAAGTTATTTTTGGAACGTTTTTTTATTATTAAATAAAAGGGCTTTAAAAATATTTTCTCGAAAAACCCACGTAACACGTAAACTGAGATATAAGTTGAAGTATTTTTATACAAAATTTCATAAAGATTGCTAAAGGCGTTTTAGACTTAGAATTTTTTAAATTATTATGCGTTAATTTTGACGGGCAGTGTACATATGTGAAAAATTACCCCAAAAGATAATAAATTCCATATTTTAGGATAGAATAAATATATCCATAGTACACACTTAAACTTCTCTTTGCACAATTAACTTTAAATTTTGAAGCAAATAATATTATTTACCTTTCTTTTTTAAAACATGTTCTGCATGATATTTCCACGAAAATTTATTATCCAAAACGAGACCCAAGAATTTAACTGATTCGCTAAAGTCAATAATAAAATCTTTTTTTATATATATGTATATTGGTAAAAACATACCGGGTGTGACATTTAAAATAAAAAAGTTATTAACCTTTCAAGTTAGCCTAATTTGCCCTGGGGTTTCTCAGGTAAATTGTTTAAAAATGTTAAAGAATTGATATGGAATCTTTTAAATAATGTTTTAAGATTTCAAAAATTTCAACCCCATATTTGGAAACCTAATAACAAAAAAGTTAAAGGCTATTTTTGATTGACGCGCATTTGTCAAATTTTATCGAAAAAAATTAATAACTCGAAAATATTTACTTTAGGTATACAGTATAATAATTTTACTCAGAATTGTATGTGGAATTTAAAAATGTAAAAATATATGGGGGTATTGCATTTAAAATAACAAAGTTGATGAAGGTTATACCGGAAGTGGCATTTAAAATTTTAAATCGATATCTTTTTTCATTCCCCAGAAACTGTTAATGGACCAGGAATGCGGAACACCCTGTATAGTTAATTTTTCTAAAAATTTTGGACTAGAATTTGTTGATAAAAATAATTTTTTCGTCAGTATTCGTTCATTTGTCATTTTTATTCCAACAAATGAATGTTATTATCGCTGTATCTGGAAATCTCTCGATAATCCTCCACGGTGTTTTTTACTTATACAAAAGTATAAAAAATGCATAAAACGGCGATGAAAAATTTATTTTTGGAGATAAATTTAAAATTAAAAGCTTTAAACATGTCAATAGAAACTATTACTTTTGAGAAATGACAAATGAAAGAAAACTGACCAAAAATTAAAAAATGGCAGTCGAAAATTTTCAGAAAAATCAAAATTGGAAATTAACCATAGACAATAAAAATGATGTGTCACATGTTCTGGAACTTTTATCAAGAATGAAATTTTCCCCATCTATGGACATACTGTATTTGTTTTCAAGCTTTTAATTTTTTTAGTTTTTAAATTATTTAAAATATAAAAAAATAGAGATGGGAATCGGAAAGTTTCCATTTTAAGGAAACTTTCCGTTTCGGAAAGTTTCCAATTGGGAATTTATTTTCATTTTGAAAGTTTGTTTTAAGCTATCGGAAACATTCCTTGGAAACTTTCCTTGTTTTTTTCATTTAAATGTCAATTGTTTAACCGCTGATTTTCGTTAAGGCCATGATACAAGGCCAAGAAACTATAAGAATTTAATTTGTGTTAATTTAAAGCAGAAGCAGAAGTATAAATGTAAGTTATGTTACATAACCTCAATGAAGCCGGATTATTCATCAACACAAAAAACTTTTTAAAAAAAAGGTAAACAAAATAAATACAATAAACAAAGTTAAAATCATTCTTACATTTTTGTTGTTTATTTATAGGCATAGCACAATGCCAAGAGAAAAATCTAGTGTTTGGAATTATTACAAAATAGTGCAAAAAAAACAAAAAAGATCATGCTCAATCAAAGCAAGTTCTGTAAGAAAATCTAATGTGTTATATATTTTTGCAAATCCCTGGCATAAAAAAAATATTTTCGCAATAAAAAATTTTTTTTTGAAACTTTCGGAAAATTTCGGGAATTTTCGATGGAAAGTTTCTGGGAATTTTCGTCAAATGGGAATTTTCCCATCTCTATAAAAAAATATAATTTTAAATAAATGATCGTGGAAATTGATGTTTATACACCGTTTTTTAAGTTCGATAATATTTGACCAACTTAAAAACTACTTTGTTTTTAATAACACGTTCCCAATTGGTCAAATATTATCAGATTTTCAAACTTTAAAACGTATAAAAGTTCATTAAATTAAAACTATAGCCAATATCAAAACGCGTTTTAATTTTTTTTAATTATTTATCCATTTTACCTGATCTTAAGTTGACTCTCAACCAGAGCTGCAACAAGTCAGTTTTAAAAAGACCTAAATCTTAAGTCTTAAGTCAATTCTAAAATCAAAATGATTTAAATCTTAAGTCAATTCTAAGATAAAGTTCAAATGATTTAAGTATTAAGTCTTTGAATTAAATCATTTTCTTTCAAGTCAAGTCATTTTCGCAAATTCTTAAATCAATATAAAGTGATTAAAGTCATCTTATGACTTAATTCCTTTAGTAAGTCGTTTTTATGACTTAAGTCTATATTTTTTATTTAAATCGTGATCTAAGAGTTAAGTCAATAAAATGACTTGAATCAAAAATTGTGATTTAAATCAAATTTAAGTCAATACAACGATTTTTTAAATGTTAATAATAACTTTATGGTATTAATAATACTGATATTATTAATCTATTTTAGATACAGATGATAATAAACCACTATGTTAAGAATTTAACACGATTTATTTTCAGAACACTTAGAAACAAAATAAAAACTTAAAACACATTTTTTGAGTAGACAATCAAAATAGATTCAAACTCTGTTAAAATAGATAAAAGTCACAAATTAGACCTAACGCACGCATAACACGACGAATGTTGGCAAACAAAATTATAAATCCGCATTTTTATTTATTTATTTTAGACAGGACATTTTTTAATGTAGCCGTCAAACTGTTCCGAAAAGCTAACTTTACCGCGGCGGTTTTTTTATTCACTAGCGATAGCAATTGTAGGTAGGAAATTTAAGGAGTTTTTGATCTGCTGCCGCGTGAACCCCTGGCAGTTCAAAAGAAAATGCCGCTGTTAAAAATTTATAAAAAAATATATGAAAAATCTGACTTAAATATTTTCTAAAAAGACTTAAATCTTTTTCAAAAAGACTTAAATCTTTTTAAATTACTTAAATAATTTACCGACTTTTATAAAGACTTAAATCTTTTTTTGACTTAAATCGTTTCTATATGACTTAAATCGTATGTACTGATTTAAGCCTTTTATTAATGACTTAAGTTTTTTATATTTTGAAAAAAATATTTAAGTCACAAATCATTTTGAAAATTATTTAAATTTTAAGTCTTAGGTCAGTTTTAGAGAAATGACTTATTACCAAATGACTTAAGTCATTAAAACGATTTAAATCAAAAAAACGATTTAAGTTTTTTGAGAGCTTGAGAGTCTCAACCCAGCTAATTTTTTATCAAATTTTGTTTTGTTTAAATGTCTTACTTGTATAATTTTAAACTAACTTGAATTTCCCTCCAAAAAATATTAAAAGAAATGCGCATATCCCCACAAATATTTTAATCATAAACGCAGATCTTACGAAGAACTATGTACGTTGACCCGTCGCTCGACTCCAGAAATCATTATTTCCACTATGTATGCAACAAAACTTGAGCTTGGGTTTAAATTAAAAGAATTATATGTGTACTAACATGAATTGAGAATTAAAAACTGTATAATTAATTAGCGCAACAAATTGAATTTTCAAAATTTTAATTTAAATATTTTTGCCGTTAAATTATAATTCATACGCCCTTGAATTTAAGAAACGCAATGTTGAGTTTTTCTATTGTAATGCGTTAATTTTACGATATAAAATTTATATTATATAAATATTCAGGAATACTTATTTTTTTTAGTGTGAAGATAAAAAATTTATTCCCAGTTGGAATTTGGAAAGTTGCCTGACAGCGCTAAACAGAATAACTTTGAAAAATTATGTTCCAGATAATACAAAACAAACTCTAAAAACATTCATGGAAAGGCAAGTAAAAAAATGAAACCTGTTTTTATTTACATTATTTTATTACAATTATAATTATTTTTTATATATAAAATGTGTTTTATTTAGTAAGTACGTAAAATATATTGGATTTTTTCGTTTTAGGGAAATTGAAAATAACGGAAAGTTTAAGAACGTAAAACAGCAAATTTTGTCGAATTTAAAGTAAATTAAGTTATTATTTATTGTTGCTTTTAATAAATTATGGATTTAATTCAAATATTTTTTTCTTTATCTGCAAAATATACAGGTTTCCCAATAATTTTAAAAAGATTATTTTTTTACAAACTCATAATGAAAAAAAAATTCAAATTAAAATAAATCATTCATGGACTAAAAAATTAACATGATAAAAACTGCATAAATTCTCCATTGTATAACACGTTATCACAAATCATTGCTACACAAATACTTTCATCGTTCTTTCAATATCCTTTCTACACATAGGACAAGTATTGTTATACATCTGCAGTTGAGAATTGCATTCGCTACAAAGACAAACATGTCTACATGGCAAAATCAGAATGCATTTTTGCCGTTCCTGACAAATAACACAAAATCTTTGGTCTAAAAAAGAGTCTTCATTTTTGCTTTCTTCCTGTTGAATAACTCTTCTAGCGACAAGAACTCTTCGATTAATAGGTTCCCGTCGTAAATGCAAGGGTCTCCTACTCTCCAAAATCCTTCTGTATATAACTCTTTGGCGTACAGTAATTTTTTGGAGAATATTATTATATAAAACAGCACAGTTTTGTCTGATTATTTGTTTGTAAGACGTAAATCTTGCACGTAAAAACGCATATATAACAACGTAAAATTGAAATAAAATATAGGCTATACTTAACCCTACAATTAGACCAGCTAGAGATTCTAAAGGTACATCAGTCACAAAGTAATATAAATCGTATAAGACAGTCTTAATTGTTTCAGTACATTGTTTAATTTTATCAAAAGTTTCTATAATTAGACTTAAAACTAATTTGGCAGTGGATGTTGTTAAATAACATAGAGAAAGGGGTACAATGGTTATGGCAAACCAAACTCCAGCCCCAATTAATATAATTAAATCCCTAATACATACAAATAATTGTCGAATAACTCTAATAACCGCTAAAGGACTGTTTAAAATAACTTCATACACTCGACATATCTCCAAGATGATTTTACTGAATCCACTTCCAATATCTCCAATAACGCCCAAAATAACATCGAATAAATGCATAAAACTTCCGTATATTAGCACTACAGTCCCATAAATATCCTCCAGAAATATCTTCAATGATTCCAATAAAATTAAGCCAAAATTAACGACATTATTCGCTAAATTAGCTGATTGAGTCACAATCGTCTGTCCACATTTCAAACTCACGTAATAACTGTAGTAAATCACCGAATAAATAACGTTATAAGCGGTAATAATTGCATCAAACATCGTATCAACATAATTTTTATAATTCAAAAATTAGTGGGGTTATGTTGTTGCTATAGGTATACCAACGCAAAAATATTTAGTAATAAAAACCGTTATTTCACACAGAGACAAGGAATGTCTGATTTCACGTGTTTGGTCTGTTATCGAAGACGAAGAAGAAGAATAATTTCGTAAATGTCAAATAAGTGTATGAATGTTATTGTTTTGTAAAAATGTAAAATGTTGCGCACATTGCGAGTTAAATAATGTTTGTTTAAAAGAAATGGTTTATTTTGTAGTTTAGGTTAAGAAGAGAAATATTACAATATTTTTTTAAATTTGCCTTATGGAATCATTGCATTCAAGAATGGCAGATGAGTCTCTCGGTTCTTCTGATGATAATTCAACTGATAGTGATATTATACCCGATATACTCGAGAGTGTAATGCATACGTATGTATATAATAGTTTTATAAAGTATACTCTATAGAGTCCCTGTATACAGGGTGTAACATAAAGGTTGGGAAAAATGAAACGGTGGATTCCTTGGTTAAAAATAATAGTATTTTTTATGTGAGATTTGCTACATGTTTACCTTTCCAAGTTACAGTTTAAAAATTGTCTGAACTGTAGCATACTTAATTATGTTTAACTACCTTAAAGAAATTTTGTTCAAAATGGATATACCTAATTTAAAAAATAAAAAAAACAAACAAAAAGGTGTTTTTTCAAGTTGTGTAACCTATTTTTTAGACATACTATCTTATAAACTTTTTTTGAATGCAAGCTTAACTAATAATATTTCTTTCCATCTTAGTAAATATAGGTAGGTAATACAATATTGTAATAACCAATAGCTTAATTAATAAATTCATTAAAATTTATGTTTTTATCAATAACCTGATAAGGGATTGTTTTTATTGATTTTCAACAAAAGAACATAAATAGAGATTGTATATTCTGAAACTTAATACAAAATTAAATTGTTGAGATCAAGAACAGTACAAGCCCAAAATTTAAACTGCTTACAAGTTATTTTATAGGTATTATTATTTTTATTTGTTTAAAATTTATTTTTTTGATAAAATTTAAACTATTTTATAAAATATAATAACAACGTTTTGTACATTAGTTAAAACATTCTCATAAAAATGCATTTTAAACAAAAAAAATAATTTTATAAAATAATTTGTCAAAATTTTAAATTTTGGACATGTATTGTACTTGATCTCACCAATTCAATTATAAACTGAACATTGCAACTATATTTTTCCTATAAATATAAAATACTACATCTTATTTTAAAACACTTTTATTAAACATAGAAGGCCTGGAACCCTAGATACGCCTAGATATTACTCATTTTATTTTGACAAGGTAAATAAGCCAAGCTTTATGTCAATTTAAGCTAGAAATAACTACGAAAATTTAAAATATAAATTTAGTTCTGAAAATAGATATTTTTAACTTAAAATAAAGCTTTGTTCACAGACAACTTCAAATAATGAGGCTGGAGTATTTAAACAGCTCTAGAAACACTTTTCCGAGAATCAGGCCTTGTCCTCCAAACACCACTATTCTTAAGGTTTGTTAATTTTTTTTTTATAAATTTAATAGGTACTTAATAATAATTTTTATAAATTTAATACTTAATATTTTTTTAATGTAGGAAAGTGAATATTATGAGCTTACCAAAAAAGCCTGTTCTATTATAAGTCCAAAACGAAGACCCCTAAAAAGATTAAGCAAAAATGTCGCCAGCTTGATATGCAATAGAGAGGTAGTTTCTTAAACTTAAATGCTTGATAATTACACAGATATAATTATTTGTTTGTAGACTGGCGTTTACCCGACCACCAATTTTTCTTATGCCAACAAATGTTATGTCAATAATAAATATATTCCCAATCATGTATCCATAATCGATAACACAGTGGGTAGAATGTTCTGTGGAATATATTCTTCAGATGGAAAATATTTGCTGACAGCTTGCCAAGGTAAATTTTTTAGGTTGGAATTATGGCGTTTTAGGATAGATTAGTTGAGACTTTGACAAATTGGATAAAATTTTGACGTTTTAGATTGTTTTTTGACATTTAAGGTTATGTTTTTGAGTTTTATAATTTTGTTTTACAGTTTATGGGAAGTTTTGACATTTGTTGTTGATTTGTGACTTTTTAGAATTCGATATGTCAGTTTATTTTAAGTTAGGACATTTTAGGTAAGGTTTTAACATTTAAGATTATTTTTTGACATTTAGAGTAAGGTTTTTCCACAGACCTGTAGGTCTGTGGGTTTTTCACTTTTTATAATTAATTTGTCTATTTATGTTTAGTTTTTACAGTTTAGTTAAGATTTTTACATTTTAGATTGTTTTTTGACGTATATTTAAGGTTAGGTTTTTGAGTTTTAGAATTTTATTTGACAGTTTATGGGAAGTTTTGACATTTTAGGTATGATTTTGACATTTAAGGTTGGGTTTTGACAAGGTTAGGACATTTTAGGTAAGGTTTTAATATTTAAGATTATTTTTTGACATTTAGAGGCAAGTGTTTTACTTTTTAGAATTTGATTTGACAGTTTTTTGTTCAGTTTGACATTTTATAATGTTTTTTAATATTAGGTAAATTTTATTTCACAATTCAGGTAAGATTTTTTACATTTTAGATGGTTTTTAGACAATTAGGGTGAAGTTTTTGACTTTTTAAAATTAATTTGACTTTTTATGTTTAATTTTTACAGTTTAGTTAAGATTTTGACATTTTAGATTGTTTTTTGACGTATATTTAAGGTTAGGTTTTTAAGTTTTAGAATTTTATTTGACAGTTTTTGAGAAGTTTTGACACTTTATGTATGATTTTGATATTTAAGGTTGGGTTTTGACAAGGTTAGGTTTTTGATATTTAGTGTTGATTTTTTACTTTTTAGAATTTGATATGAGTTTATTTTAAGTTAGGACATTTTAGGTAAGGTTTTAACATTTAAGATTATTTTTTAACATTGAGGGATAAGTTTTTCCCTTTTTAGAATTTGATTTGACAGTTTTTGTTAAGTCTTGACATTTTATATTGTTTTTTATCATTAGGTAAAGTTTATTTAATCATTTAGGTAAGGTTTTTTACATTTTAGAGGGTTTTTAGACAATTAGGGTTAAGTTTTTGACTTTTTATAATTAATTTAACTATTTATGTTTAGTTAAGATTTTGACATTTAAGGTTAGGTTTTGACAATTAAGGTTAGGTTTTTGACATTTAGCTCGACATTTAGTTTGATTTTTTACTCTTTAGAATTTGATATGACAGTTTATTTTAAGTTGGGACATTTTATGTAAGGTTTTAACATTTAAGAATATTTTTTGACATGTAGAGACAAGTTTTTCACTTTTTAGAATTTGATTTGACAGTTTTTTGTTAAGTCTTGACATTTTATATTGTTTTTTTATATTAGGTAAATTTTATTTGACAATTTAGGTAAGATTTTTTACATCTTAGATGTTTTTTAGACAATTAGGGTTAAGTTTTTGACTTTTTATAATAAATTTGACTATTTATGTTTAATTTTTACAGTTTAGTTAAGATTTAGACATTATTGATTGTTTTTTGACGTATATTTAAGGTTAGGTTTTTGAGTTTTAGAATTTTATTTTACAGTTTATGGAAAGTTTTGACATTTTAGGTATGATTTTGACATTTAAGATTGTTTTTTTACATTTAAGGTTGGGTTTTGACAAAGTTAGGACATTTAAGATTATTTGGACGGCTTTCTGCAGAATGGGACCAACCCACACCATGATGAAACTGAGTAAAAAGCTATCAAAGATTTTAATAATTTTAAAATTACCTGTTAATTTTATGCCGATTTTGGACTTACGGAGGTTTAAGGGATATAATTTAATAATTTCATCAGGTGGATTTTGTGATGTTATGTGTAAGGGTGACGAAAAAAATGGGCTTTTGTTGGTTGGTTCCTTTCTGCAATTTATGAAAACTACTATCTGATGTATGTATGTATTTAAAGAAAAGCGACAATTATTTATTTCCAAACAAAATACAACTGATATTACTATTATAATGGTAATATGAATTAATTTTGATTCTATTTGAAATTCGTCCACATCATCTTCCAACCCCACCTCATCTTGTAAGCTACCAAAAAAATGCATCAAGACGTTATATTTTGCAGAAGCAGGAAATCTTTAAAGACTTTGGTAGTGGGTCTACCAGCCTCCTACCAACCCACTTGCAGATATTCTACAGATTCTAATTCTGGATTAGTAATCCACACTATTATTGAATGTTGGTTGGTTCAATGATTAATAGATTTCACTACACTTGCATTTTGGCTATGACCTATTTTGCAGATAAATTATACATACTTAATTAGTTCATAGGCTAAATATCTCGATTTTTTTGGTTTTGTGGGTTGGTTCCTTTCTGCAGAAAGGCGTCCATTTTGATTTTTAATACTAGGTAAATTTTATTTGACAATTTAGGTAAGATTTTTTACATTTTAGATGGGTTTTAGACAATTAGGGTTAAGTTTTTGACTTTTAATAATTAATTTAACTTTATTTTTACAGTTTAGTTAAGATTTTGACATTTTAGATTGTTTTTTGAAGTATATTTAAGGTTAGGTTTTTGAGTTTTAGTATTTTATTTGACAGTTTATGGGAAGTTTTGACATTTTAGGTATGATTTTGACATTAAAGGTTGCGTTTAACAAGGTTAGGACATTTTAGGTAAGGTTTTACCATTTAAGATATTTTTTTGATATTTAGAGGCAAGTGTTTTACTTTTTAGAATTTGATTTGACAGTTTTTTGTTCAGTTTGACATTTTATATTTATTTTTATTTATATATTAGGTAAATTTTATTTGACAATTTAGGTAAACTTTTTTACATTTTAGATGGTTTTTAGACAATTAGGGTTAAGTTTTTGACTTTTTATAATTAATTTGACTATTTATGTTTAGTTTTTACAGATTAGTTAAGATTTTTACATTTTTGAACGTATATTTAAGGTTAGGTTTTTGAGTTTTAGAATTTTATTTGGCAGTTTATGGGAAGTTTTGACATTTAAGATTGTTTTTTGACATTTAAGGTTGCGTTTGACAAGGTTAGGACATTTTAGGTAAGGTTTTACCATTTTGGGCGTTTTGACAAGGTTAGGTTTTTGACATTTAGTGTTGATTTTTTACTTTTTAGAATTTTATATGACAGTTTATTTTAAGTTAGGACATTTTAGGTAAGGTTTTAACATTTAAGATTATTTTTTGACATTTAGAGAAAAGTTTTTCACTTTTTAGAATTTGATTTGACAGTTTTTGTTAAGTCTTGACATTTTAGGTATATTCTTTTTTATCATTAGGTAAATTTTATTTGACAATTTTGGTAAGATTTTCTACATTTTAGATGGTTTTTAGACAATTAGGGTTAAGATTTTGACATTTTAGATTGTTTTTTGACGTAAAGGGTTAGGTTTTTGAAATGTACAAATTGTAGATTATGTTCATGAACATAATATAATGTACAATTATTTATCATTTCCGGATTTAAAAATGTAACTGTTTTCTTTACAGATAGATATATTAGATTATATTGCGCAGAGGACGGATCTTACAGGCAGTTAAAAAGTTTGAGAGCCCAGGATTTCGGTTGGAGCATAATAGATGTCGCCTTTAGCCCAGACCGAAACAATTTCGTTTATACGAGCTGGTCCAACGCCAGTAAGCTCTGACTAAAATATTTATAAGTTCCAAATAATTTGCACGTTTCTGTTTAGTTTACTTATGTTCCGTGCACGACGAGGAAAATACTCAGGAGGCTTTGACTTTCTTGGACATGGGCCGAAGGTTTTGCATATTTTCTGTGGTATTTTCATCGGATGGTAAAGAGTTGTTGGGGGGTGCAAACGACGGGAACATTTATATTTACGATCGGGAACAACATGTGCAATCTTTAAAGGTGAGTTTTGTGCTTTTTTTATGATTAATTTTATAAATGTCAACAGTTCTATGCAGCAATTGCGCCATCTTGTAGAATTTGCCGACATTTTTGTTGAGTTACTGTGCAATCAAAAATGTGGTTTATTAATATTGCGGATAAGACATTTTTGCGTAACAGGGCAGCTGCACTTTTTTTTGGCCTTTTGCCCCTTTTTCGCAAAGAAAACTAATTTAATTAGACAGTAACAAATAATTTAAAATTTGTTAAGGGGCCGTCCATAAATCTCGTGACGCTAAAAATGGTCAAAATTGACCCCCTGCCCCTCCATCGTGACAGAATGTGTCAAATTATCGAACTCCCTTACCCCCCAAAAATATATTTTTTTTTGTATTAATCTGCTAAAAAAAGTTAACTTTGTCACGTGACGTTTAAATTAACCTCCTCCAGCGTCATGAGATTTATGGACGACCCCAAACGGTCGACTTTGGAAAATAGTTTTCCACAAAAAAGAATCTCTAAAATTAACTTATACAAAATTAAAGTCGTTAACATTTAAAATGTTTGCAAAATGTTAATATTAATGGTTTTATAACTATATAAATACTCATTTTATTTGTTGGGTACCAAAACCAATTAAAATTTGTAAATTTTTTAAAAATTAAATTAAAATAATTTTTGTTGAAATTTTAAATCCTAAAATATAAGTTTAAGACATTTTTGCAAAAGACTAAATTTCCTACAAAAAATGTATTTACTTTTTTTTCAACCATTTACAAATGTTTACAAAAAAACCACTTAACAAATTTGGGAATTATTAAATGTATTGGATATTTTAAAAAAACTTAGTTATTTTTAAAATCTTGGAAGTTTTTTAAAATTTGTCATAAACATTTTTTCAATTCAACCAAGCATTTGGCCTTTTGGCCCCTTTTTCTCAAAGAAAACCAATTTAATTAAGCAGTAAAACATCATTTAAAATTTTGGCAATAAATCGATAAACCTCGTGACGCTAAAAATGGTCAAAATTGCCGATGCGCCGAAAGTGACGATGTAAAGACCCCCCTTGAAGGTTTATGTGGCGAATTATCTATCTTACTTACCCCTAAAAATATTTGTTCGATTTTTTTTGTAATAATCCGACTAAAAATGAAACAAAAAACATGTTTACTTTGTCACGTGACGTTTTAATTAACCTCCTCCGGCGTCATGAGATTTATGGACGGCCCCAAACTGTGAACTTTAGAAAAAAGTTGTCCACAAAAAAGGTCGAATCTCTTAAATATATATTATACGAAATTAAAGTCGTTAACATTTAAAATGTTTGCAAAATGTCAATATTAATGGGTTTTATAATTATTTAAATACTTTTGCTCAAATTTTAAATTTTGATGATACATACATATCTATTAAAATATTAGTTTAAGACATTTTCTCAAAAGACTAAATTTGCTACAAAGTTCTTGCAAAAATCTATTAGTTTATTGGAAATCAAACTAAAAAAGGAAGGTGTAGGTTACATGTTTTTTAGTTCTTAGGATTGTTAAGAGCTCAATGTTAATGATATACAGAATATACAAAAAAACGGATTTTTGTTTTTTTTCTATTCTAACAATTTTGTATTTAATCGTGAACATTTTAAAAATTTAAAAAAACTGGGGAATTTTGGATATTTTGTAAATTTTATAATTTTAATTTAAAAATAATTCGAAATTTTGACTTCCTCACTCACACATGTTTTCTACTTGTCCAATCTCTTTCATTTGATACCCATGTCAAGGAGGTTGTGAGGATTGCCGTCCTATTGGATTTATTTATTTCCATCTCTATCTTACTTACATATGACTAGAGTTGGGAAAATTTCAACTTTGAAAGTTTCGAACTTGAAATATTTCATTTAGTTGGAAAAGTGAAATTTTTAAAAATTTCAAATGAAATTTTTAATCCGAAAAAACATTTCCTGTGAAAGTTTCAGAAATTTTATTGAAAGTTTCGCAATTTACTGAAAATTTCGCATAAATTTCACATGCGGCCTCCCCTGGGACCTTTAATAATAATTTACAACAGATTCCGAATCGACCAACGAGTTATCAAGCGTCTGGGCGTTTTTGTTTAGTTGGGCTTGGATTTGAATACACTATAAGTAATTATTGTTACTTATATGCATAAATTAATTTAAATAATTTAATTCAGTTACCAATTTAATTTGTAAATTAAATCAGACTAAAATTTTTTTAAAAGTCATGATTAATTTAAACTTTTACTTTTGCTATAATTGCATCGGAAAACGGATAAAAAATGCCTTTGGCTCATAAAATTTTGATGAAGTTTCTTCAATTTTCGTAAAATTTCAGTAAAATATTTAAAAATAATAAAAATATATAAATATAAAACAACGAAAGTGGCACAATCTCATTAGCTTACCAAAAAGTGCTATATCTCTTAGTTTTAGTAATTTTAAAAATATTTTAAAAGGAAATCTCAATAAATTTGTGGTAAACATAGGTATTTACTATTTATATTATTGGTGCAGGGGCCAACAGAGGGGTGTCATGAAAATTTCAAGTGAAATTTCAAGTACAAGCAAAAAGTGAAATTTTCCCAACCCTACATATGACCTTGCAAGCGAATATGATTCCCTCTACATTCACTCTCACTCGTATCAATTTTCTGTGACGTCACTCATCATGTGACCATTTTCCGTCGCCTGCTAAAATTTAACTCCCAAGTCGGTTTCATATATGATGCGAAATCCGAATTGCAAAATACGAATATTCGCATTTTGAAACTCCTATTTCATATACATGCGAACTATTTTAGGGGCATTGTTTTCTCACTGGGCGATATTTGCAATTTTATTTTAGGTACTTAAGTAGTAAAGTTAGTTAAAGTGACTAAAGGTAAAATAAGAAACATTAATGTACCTCAAACATTATAAAAAACAAAAAGCACTCTAAACAATTATTTAAACAGTTCGAATAAAACTCAACAAAACAAACACTATAATACAAACGAAATAAACAAACAAGTGCGATTTTCGCAAAATATTGCATCAATCTTAAGATTCCCACCCCCTAGATTTCAAATCTTTGGAATTCGCAGGATTTGTCAAAACAAATGGACAAACTTTTTCGCAATTCGCATTTCGAAAAAGATATGTAACGTAAAAAATTGAAACTTCAGATATCGGCGCACGAATACGACGTGAACAGCGTCGTCTTCGCCGACGACTCATCGAAAATAATCTACAGCGGCGGCGACGACGGGCTGGTGCGCGTCTGGGACCGCCGCACCATGGACGACTCCCGGCCGCAGCACGTCGGCTGCCTGGCCGGGCACATGGACGGCGTGACGCACGTCGACTCGCGCCGCGACGGCCGCCACCTCATCTCGAACTCGAAGGATCAGAGCATCAAGCTGTGGGACGTGCGCAAGTTTTCCAGCGAGACGGCCGCGATGAGCACGATCAAGACTGCGCAGGAGCAGACGTGGGACTACAGGTGGCACGGGGTGCCGAAAAAACGTGAGTGAAAATTTTACAGATACCTCGAAAAAAAACATAAAAGTACTACTATTAATTAACTGAGTTCTTCACTCAACGGTGGTATTATTAAAGCCTGATTACACTTATCAACATGAATTTTGCGTGTGAGGCCAGGAAAACGTTTTGATAATGTTTAAAAAAATACGAGGTGTACCTATATTAGACTGGGCCAAAAAAATCAACAATTTTTTTTTGAAACCATATCGAAAATATGGTTTGGGGTTACAAAAAAAAATATTGTGAAAGTTTGAGTCCCTAATATTAATATTAAGAGGTCGCATCGCAATTTTAATTTTTTTTTGTCTCAGAAACTATTGAGTTTAACAAAATTGACTCAGAAATATAAGAAAATTAAATGCTCCACAAAAAAGGCTAAAATAAAATTTTCCTTCAGATGAACCGTTTCCTTAAAATCATGCCTTAAAAATTGGTATAGTTTTACATTTTGATCTTTTAACTTTTGAATTTTATATAGAATATCTATCGGTTTTTTTCCGGGTACCTACTGATTTTTACATGAATTACAAAATTCCAAAGTGAAAAGATCAAATTGTAAAACTATACCAATTTTTAAGGCATGATTGTGAGAAAACTGACAGGAAATTCTAATAAATTTTTTTTTGTAGATTATTAAAAATATATTCTTAAGTCAATTTTGTTAAACTCAATGGTTTGGCAGTTCTGAGACAAAAACTCGCCCAGGAAAAAAATCTAAAATTGCGATGATAGACCTCTTTATATTAATATTATGGACTCAAACACCATAATTTTGTTTGTCACCCCAAACAAAATTTTCGATATACTTTACAAAAAAAATAGTCGATTTTTTTGGCCCAGTCTAATAAATATATCGGTATAATTTTTTATTTTACCGTATTTTTTTTGTAATTTAAGCATTTTTTATAGGCAGCTTGAGCTTTGAGAACCTTAATTAAAACAAAGGTTTAGTAATAGCATTGATTGAAAACTTTAATATAAAAAAATGTTTTCTTTTAATTTCACGTCAGATCAAACAGTGCAGTTCAACACACCGACTTAAATTTTCTTTAAATTTAAATTTTGCCTACATGAAATACATTTAACAGACGATTTTGAGCGAATTTAAGACAAAAAGTTCATATAAACATGGATCTGCAAATGCTTCGTTTTCAATGCTTCAGGGTGTTATTGTAATGGTTTTTTCTTAAATATTCTAAATATCCTTTAGGTAACCAATTTTGTCGTAAGTTGGCAGTGTTATTTGTAGTTTTAAGGGGCTAATTTAGCTCTAACTTCATTATATTTATTAAGTCCAGTGTATTGTTTACAAAAAATGTAGGCCAGTGACTTTGTATTTTTATATTTTTTCCGATTAAGCAGCTAAAAATACAACTTTGTTGTCTCTTGAATTTTGTGTGCAAGAAAAAAATAAAATCCCCTTAATTGCATATCTCGGGACCACACAAGATTTGATATCTTCTCTAAAACTAACTAAAATACGTATAAAAATTCTGAACACAAAAAGTTGTAATTTTAGTTGCTTAATCCAAAAAAGTATATAAATTAATAAAAAAATAATTTTGGTTTATCAGTTTAACATCCCGTATCTTGAAAAAGCATTTACAGACCCATGTTTATGTAAACTTGTTGTCTTAAAATTACCCAAAGAATCGTCTGTTAAATTTATTGTACATAATTAATTGAGTAACAAACAAACTGTATAGGCTAGGATAACAAAAAATATTAGTTTTGAAGGTTCTAAGATAATTAATTACAGAGAAATTAATTATTGCAAATTTTTTATGTGATTAAATTCTGGTCCTTTTTTTAAATGTACAGGTGACACATGTCAAAAAATAATAGATTGCAGATATCAAAAATAAGCCATATGAAACAAAAAAGCTGCCATTTGTTATTTGTATAAAGAAGTATCGCTAGTAGCGCCACCACTCGGCTGTTATCGTCAGTACAACTTTTAATAATCAGCTGTCAAACGCGTATGTTACAAACGAGTGTTTTTAAGAATAATGCCGGAAAATGTTAAAAAGTATCGGAAAAAACCTTGGCACGATTTGTTGTGTTGTTGGGTGTATTTCGAGAGGAAATTTTGGGTTGAGTTTTTATCGGTTTTCCAATAAACAGTGTTAATCCGAATGAAGAAATAAATTTCCTACAGTCCCTGTAAATATAAATTGTATCTATTAGATACAAAAATACACATTTTAGTAATGATTAACGTGGAAAGTGTAAACATTTCAATTCAGTAAAAATCGGCAAACAAATTAGTCGTCTAAATTTAAACAGCATTTAGCATTTTTAAAAGCGTTGATTAAGAAAGTCTCCACTCAACGGTAAAATACCATTATATTATGGATAATATATAATATTATGTTGCTATGAATTCGTAGGTAAATTTTGTTGTTTAAAATGAAGTTGTCGGCGTTTTTTAGAGAACTCAAATATAAAAATGGTTGATTTTAAGGTTCTTTTTGCAAAAATTATTTCTTACTAATTTCTTAAAAATGTCAAAACTTAAATATAAATTATATTTTGTAAAGTTACCATTAGTTAATTATGTACCAAAAAATGTACTTACCTAATTGGATCCTTTGGCAAAACATGAAAATGCAACGATTTAGTTCTTGAATTTTATTTATAATTATAAATACAATAATTCACCATGACCCCTTAGATAAAATACACACACTAACCTAACTATATAGTATAGGAATAAGCATTTAAGCGTTGAGTTTCTTCACAAATAACGTGCGCGATTTAGCTGTGCAATTGAACAAAATTTGTCGAGTAAGACTTCTGCCTTCTTCTCTTTTGTGAAAAAACTACTTATTTATTTAAAAATGATTACAGTTCGTATGCTTTAAATGTATTGTTGACAATTCTTAAATTCACGCAATGCTATCGAGCGCCACCAGATGGCACGCGCGTTGCGAAAACCCGATACTTCTTTAGCGTATTATTGACAATTTACGTAACATTCGTAAATAATTTTTGACAATTTACGTAACATTCGTAGATAATAGTTATTTATGAGTAATTGTTAAAAGTGTTTTTAGTTTGTTCGAAGTGTACAATTTTCCTGATTGGTCGGATCGGACAATAACCACTGATTCTAGTTGCTAACGTTAACGACTCATGTTCACGAATTTTTTTCTCAGCTCCTAAGCGGATAGCCAAGATGACATATGCTCCTGATCAAACATGTCGAAAAAAATTCTTGAAAATTTTCTGATTGCATTTTTAAAATCAGCTTAAAAAATTAAAACAACCTTTAACTTAAATAATATATGCAGGTTAAGGAGTTATTTAAGAAATTTAGAAAAAATAACACGCATCTTGCGAAAAATTAAAATATTGCCATAATTCATTTCTCAGTAATTAATAATAATAATTAATTATTATCGTAGAACCTTCAAAATTGAGATTTGTGGTTATCCTAGGTTATAAATAATCTGCACAAAATTTGAAAAAAATGGTATGGTGAACTATTTTCATTAATAAAGTAAATATTTTGGTTATAAAATAATGTATTTAATTTTTTTATTTTTATATTTCTTCCTATGTACAGTGTGTTTGCGACCCACCCTTGTAAAATCTTTATTTATTGTGCGATTTTAACCGGATTTACTTTAAAATGTAGATCTTGATGAACTGTATTTTTGGAACAAAAAAACACCAGGCCTACTATGTCCTATGTCAATTTTTAGGAATTCTTATGAAAAAATCTGCGCGGCACTGGATTCTCCGCCCCCAAAACGACCCCAAACTAAATTTTATTGAAAAATTTTAAGTAGGAACGTTCTTAATTCACTATAATTACTATTTGCAAAAATTTAATCTGTCAAGTTATCCATGAAAAAAAAAACATTGAAATATAAATTCTTAAAAATTAACTCTTAAAAACTGACATAGTAGACCTTGCATTTTGTAAAATGGCGTTTTTGCTCCAAAAACACAGTTCATCAAGATCTGCACTTTAAAACAAATCTGGTTAAAATCGTGCAATAAATAAAGATTTTACTGGGGTGAGTATATTGATATCGAAAAATAATTTCAATCGCCATGCCTAGGTGTGGGTAATAAGATTTCTTCTCATGCCTCATTCAATTCCCATTTTGGACCATTTTTTACTCTTGATTAAACTGTACGCGCCATTTATGACCGCAGACCAAATTAGTGCTCGGAAAAATATACGTCAAATCGCACCTGTTTATTCGATCATGGTCAAAGGTGAAAATCTTTAAAAATTAACGGTTTAAAAAAATATAGACAGCTTTTAAAAAAGTTACAAAAAATTGTTACAGTTTTTGGAAAAAACAATAAAATAGACGGCGATACATCCATAATGACGTACAGAGAACATGTCGTAACCAAAACATTGATTAGATGCAGATTTTCGCCGGTAGAAACCACCGGTCAAAGATTTATTTATACAGGCTGTGGTATGGGTAGAATAATAGGTAAGTAAATCATAAAAATCTAATATTTTACTTGAATAATAAAATATTTTTTTAGTTTATGATTCTTTGACCGGGAAAGTCCAGCAAAACATCAATGGGCACACTGCATGTGTCAGAGATGTTTACTGGCATCCATACAGAAATGAAATAGTCAGTTCAGGGGTATGTTTTGCAAACTAAAAAGTTTCAATTATTCATTTAAATGTTTGTAGTGGGATGGAGTAGTCGGTAAATGGCAATACAGGGACCCAGAATATTGTGATTATTTAGAAGACGACATCAATGAAAAAGAGTACTTCCACAATATTACCACCACCCCTTTAAGAAGAAGTCAGAGATTAGCGGATAAAAGAAGCACCCAGAATAATGATTCTTGATGAAAACTAGATTTAATAGGGAATAAGTGTTCCTAGTTCATATTATCAAAGTTTGATATATTTTTGATTTATTATGTTAAGTTATGTTGAAATAAAATTCTTTAAAAATATTGTGTTTCAATTGATATCCGAAATTGTTTTTTGTTATCCAACTACAAAATAATACTGCAGCGAATGTTTTTTGCGGCCCGAAATATTCTTACTGAATTAAAATAAAAAGAATAATTATTATAATCATAATATGACAAAAATAAAATTTCTGTTTGGTGCATGGCAACCAACAACTTTTTAAGGGTAATTTATGTATGCTGAATCCTAAAATGAACATCACTTTGCTCAATCAGCTCTTGTTTTTGCGCTGTAGACAAAAACTTTTTTTTTATATGCGCATGGGTGAATATTTTAAAACCATCACATAATAAAATTGCAAATCTTATTAATTTTGCACTTTTAGGACTTTTCCACTCATAAACATAGACATTTTGTCTTTTTTAGAAAGTTGAACCCACGGTTTTACTTGGTCATCTCTTATTCTTCTGCGTCTCTCACGTTCTGCTTGTCTTTTAGCTTCGTTGGTCAAATGGTTTCGTGGTTTTGTCATTTTAATTAATTTCCCACTGAAATGAAATATTTTAAATTGATTACATGTAAGGGACACGACAATGACGAGCACGGTAATGATGATTTTAAGGTTAGAGTGTTTTACAATGTTTATTCGAAAATGTAATGGAATTTTCAAGTTACCATTTGCTTTTTCTTAATGCAAGACTCCTTTGTATTAATGTAAATATTTTGTATGTCCATAAACTTTGAAATAATACTTACCCCGACAATGACGGACAAGCCGTTTTCGTTTTCATTCGGCGCACGTCACAACTTTGACATATGCTAGTGGACTTTTGACAGGCAGGCTATTTCCATATCAGACGTTCGAAAACTTCCGGCATTTTCCGAATGTATCGCGTATTTAAATATGAAATTAGACACATTTTTAGTGGAAAAAGTTTAAACGGCATTAAAAGAAAAGTTAACACTTTAAAATGCAATATCTTGCTTGCATTGTGTTTTGTATTTACTTCTTCTGTGTTAGACAGGTCATTGCAAGATTTAATTTGTAAATAAATGTAAGAAAATATATGTTGTTCTTCGAATGTGAACAAGGCATGACAATGACGTTTGCGAGACAAAAATTAAAATATATTTTTTACCATGCTCGTTTAGACTAAAATAAGTAAGGAATCAAGTAAAAATAGTTAATTACACCAGACATCAAGTATTTTATTTTCAGTGGGATATTAACTTTTGAAATAACAAGCCAGAACCGATTGAATTACACTTTTGAAATATTCACTTAAATTCAAATGCTTAATATATTTTTGGCAACATGGCAATAAAATCAACCAAGCGAGTCAAAATTGGGTTAATTTTATTGCCATTTTTATTTGATTGCATTAAAATTTTAACAGAATAATGTAGATAAATAGAGCTACAAATAGAGTAAATTTTATTTAAATCGGGCAAAAATTAATCATGTTGTATCTCTTTGAATTTTAAAAATATCCGAATTTTACCAACAAACGTGCTAAGAGTGTTCTTAAATGTTGAAATGATTGGGTGATTTGTGTCACATGACGAAAAATAACATAATTTAAATAGCTGTTTGAACTGTCAAAACATTTTCAGAAAAATTTACTCTTTTTTGTATAATTTTCAGAAAAATGACTAATTGTAATTGTAATCTTACTGAATTAAAATAAAAGGAATAATTATAGTCATAATATTATGATTATAATCAGCGTCGGAAATTCACTTTTTTCTTGATATCATATGATATATATACGTAAAATTTTCGAAATTTTCAGAAAAATTGACTTGCATTTTTTTCGTATAATTTTCTGAAAAATTGACTTTTTCATTTTTTGTATAATTTTCAGAAAAATGACTTTCATTTTTTCGAATAAAATTTAAAAAATTATACAGCAACGAATTTTCTTTTGCGGCTCGGAATATTCTTTTTCTACTCCTATTACGGAATTTGACCGTTCTAATATCACTTTTATCTATGGAATGACATATATTCCGTAAAGTTTTACAGAATGAAATATTCTATCATCTGATGACAGAATTAACACTCGTGGCGACATCTCTGTTATTTATATCTAACAAATTTTAGACAGATCCAACCTCACTTTTTTCCAATGAAATTATTTTTCTATGGTATTTTTTGGAAACGTAGAAAAAGTATAGTCGGAAACACGTTTGGAATTGCATATGCTGCTCTCGTGAAACCGTCAAACTCGCCTTCGGCTCGTGTAACAAACTCTTCACTCGAGCGGAATATGCTGTATTCCAAACTTGTTACAGAATATACTATACCCCTGATAGCAAAATTTGATTCTAAGAATCTTCTAAGAAGATACGACTCGGAATAATGGAATATTCTTAGAACCTTCCCCTATTGCTAAGAATGTTCTTAGGGACTTTTAAAACATTCAATAGATACCCTTTTAATGATGCAAGTAGATTCTTAGAAGCTTCTTAAAACCTTCCTAAAAAGCAATCTAAGAACATTTTAAGAATACGTTTTTGGAATGTTCTAAGAAGGTTTCTTATGGAGCTTCTAGGAAGCTTTTGAGAATATTTCCAAATATGTCAGATACCCACGTTCTAATATGTTGTATTCTACATTCGTAAAATTCTTCAGGACACGACAAATACGCCTCACTGTCATAATATGACAGTGAAATATATTTGTCGTCCCCTTAAAAAATTTTGCGACATATTAATATATATTTGTTTAAAAATATTAAATAAACAATTTCACCTCTAAACCATAAGTTGTATGACATTATTACATAAAAAGTAAAATTGGAAAATTTTGTGGGATAAGTCAGATTAGATTGAAGTTGAAGATAGTTAGGATTATTATACATAAAAATGTTAATTCAGAAATAAAAAATCGGTATACAAATTAATAAATATTTTTTTAACATTAAATAAAATATAAAAAAACAAAATATTTACTTAAAAAATAATTCTTCATAAAAGAAAAAACCAAAAAGTTCTTCATAAAAAAAACATTTTTCATTGTATTTAAGTTGGATAGAAGATTTTATGTAAAAGCCGGATAATTTAGATACCTATAGCAAAAGTATTTTTGTTATCTAATATTGTTTTAATTTGATAAATAACTATAAAAAATATTTTGGGTTGTTTTTTACTTAGTATTTAATACTAATTACTTTCTCAACATTCTAAGCATATGTTTAGAGTGGATTAATTTTTACCACTAAACTTTGCACCTTCTAAGAACCTGCCTAGAGGCCAGTGAGAATATTCTTAGGATTATGCTATATTTCTTTTAAGCATGTTCTTTAGAAGAAATATAGGATGATCCTAAGAATATTCTCACTGGAAGGTTTAAAAAACATTCTTAGAATAAACTGTGCTATCAGGGACTAAATTAAAATAAAAAAATAATTATTATAATCATAATATTATGATTATAATCAACATCGGAAATTCACTTTTTTCTTAATATCATATTACCTATACGTAAAAAATTTTAAATTTTCAGAAAAATTGACTTTCATTTTTTCGTATAATTTTCAGAAAAATTGAATTTAATTTTTTTGTATAAGTTTCAGAAAAATGACCCATTTTTACGAATAAAATTTAAAAAATTTAAAAAACTCGTTTTTTTCCGCCGGCTCAATTTTTCCGTCACTCTCCCTGTTCACTATTTTTCTATGAGTGACATGTTTGTCAAATGATTATTAAATTAATTGGTTTCTTCAAAATTATGAGCGAAAATAATTCAAAGCAAGAGCCCACCCAAGTAAATTTAAAACATTTTAGGATGCCCTAAAAGTAAACACTTAAGAATTCTAGCGCTGCAAACGATGAGGAACCTTGCAGAAGCACCCTTGAAGATTGCCGTGGCCCAAACGAACAACACCAAAATTCCCAAGAAGATTTTAAAGATCCCTGCGAATGCGGTCGGGACATTTCGCCCTCAGCCTCCTTACCCTCATACCACACATTCAAAGACCCCAAATCCGACATCAAACTGTTCACGATAAGCAACCAAACCAATCAAGAGGAACAAACTAAGTTGGACACGGCCACATCAGCTACGTCTTTCAACATCGAACGTGAAATACAGGTGATTAAATTTACACATTAGCGACTTTTCCGAAAAACGGCTTGGGGGTTGCCAAAATGCAAAAAATACGTGTGGAGGGATGTAAAAGTGCATAAGCAATCGGCACAGGGTAAAAAAGTTGTATAATTATCACGTAATTAATAAAAGGGGCTGATAATTGAAGTGACTTACAGTGATTTTCTGTGAAAAAGAGCATGTAGCGAGTCAAAAACACGTATCTAATAGACATAGAATTTGAAAGTGAAGTGAAAAAGCTTGAATTATGAAAAACAACGTCATAAATTGCGGAAAATGCAATTTTAAAAACACAGTGACTAGAGGCACGCTAACGTACCGCGATTGAAAATATTAAAGGCACGTTAGTTACGTCATAATTATAATCCGTTTTTGTTCCCCGACCATTTAATATTTGACATCAAGCTAGATAGCTTATATGGTAGGGCGTTCGCTTGGCATGCGAGAGGTCCGGGGTTCGATACCAAGAAGCTGTCGAATTTTTTTTATTTTTTTATTTCATAAATTTGTTGTTTCTTTGTTAAACAGTGTTCGGTTGGGTTGGTTGGTTTGTTTTAGTTTTATCGTAACATAAAATCTACTAGAAGTTGTCGAACTTTTTTTATTTCATAAATATGTTGTTCGTTTGTTAAAAAGTGTTTTATTTTTATCGTAACATAAATTTGCCCATTTTAGTTGGGTTTTTTGTTCAATGGGGCGGGGGGGGCCAATGGGGCGGGGTCGGTTGGGTTGTGTTGTTGAGTTTGGGATGGTTTGAGTTTATGACGTAACTAACGTGCCTTTAACATTTCAAATCGCGGCACGTTAACGTGCCTCTAGTCACAGCGTTTTAAAAATCAGGTAATTTGAGGTTATGCAGGTTCACAATCCAGCCTGCCTTTAGATATATTATACCTATATTGCTCAATGGGGCGGGGTCGGTT